AGTGCCACCAAGATTTAGCCAAAGCCTCGGTAGATAATAACATTATCCTGAGGTGGGTTAAAGGGCACGACAGGAGTAAAGGTAATCGCATTGCCGACTCTTTAGCCAAGGAAGCGACTGGACTAAGAATTTTAGGACCCAGTGACACCTATGATGACTTCGACAATTGGGGAACTAGCCAAACGTCACACCCATGCTCAATCCCTAAAGGGATGGAATGAAATCAAAGGATGTAATCCTGCCAGGATCACCCTGGGCGACCCTGGAAAGTTGTCGCCGAAGAAATATCTGGCGATGACCGGGCAAAAATTACACTTAACAGTAGAACTTCTGACTGGCCACTGTCAACTAAGGAAACATTTCCATAATATGGGGCTAGTGGACACACCTCTAGCAGGAAGTGTAAACTGGAAGATGAAACTGTCAGGCATGTCCTATGCGAGTATCCGGAGTTATCGTCAATAAGAGAGTGTGTGTTCGGCGGGTCTTGGCCTTCAACTGCCGATAAAAAGGAGATGTCTCCTAGTGACCTGTCCATCTTCCTGAAAAGGACAGGATGGACGATGACCTAGGAGGACAACTCCTCGGGAGAATGTACAATGGGTCACATGTGGTCTAAGTGCCTCACCCTCCCTCTACTCTACATCTACAGATACAGCTATCCATGGGATATCGTATTTTATATTGAATTCCCAAATTATATACAAGTATATGAAGGAACTGGCCGATATTTGCACTTTTTGGCATATACCTGAGCTCTCTCAGCGATGTTTTCATCTCCTGGATCGTCTCCCTTTCATGGTCTCTTCCATTTTGGGAACAGAAATAAGTCGGAGGGGGGCAAATCCGGTGAATACGATGGCTGAGGCATTATTACGGTATTGTACTCTCGATTGACCGCACCACCATGTGGCAAGAGCTCCTGACGCACTACTCCACGGTTATCGAAGGAGCAATGGGTGATTCTTCGACATTTGATCAAATTTGGCTCCTTCATTGGGACGATTGGACTTTGGTTCCCATGTTATAACCATATACCCATGATTCGTCATCAATATGACCCTTCCAAGCGAATCTGGATCGCCTTTGATGACATTCGACAATTCCTGAGCGATGTTCATGCGACGGTTTTTTTGTCAACGAATTTCGCTGGCAGATGCTTCATGTCTAAAATAAAAAAAATAGCTGGCATGATCCAACCGATATGCCGATAACTTCAGCAACTTCTATAATGGTGATTCGACGATTCTCCAAAGCAATTTTCCTCACTTTCTCAACATTTTCATTAGATTTTCGACCCTCTGTGAAAAGCTGGTACCACTCGTGAACATTTTTTTGAGTCAGAGTGAAATCACCGTATGCCTCTGTCAATATTTCAAGTATTTTAGAGCACTTTCACTTGAAAACTAAACACGATAAACAGCTGAAACTGTGAACATATGTTCGAGACGAGTGTACCAATAAAAAAAAATCAAAGGAACGCCCGCCAAATTTGAACATTCACGTTATTTTCTGAAAAGACCTCTTATAGTGGAACACTTGTTGCAATTCAGTAAACTCTTCAGTGAAAATCTCACAAAACGTTATGGATTTTATTCAAATATCTGCCAATTCCGTCAAATATTTCCAAATTTGGTTTCAATCTTTATATTTCTCGAGAGAAAGGTATCTTATCTCATATATTTCAGTTCTCGCAACTATAAAAAGTTTTTTCGTAAGTTCAATTGAAGTATCGATTTCAGGATTATCGTAATTTTTGTCAATTGTTAATGTTTGACGTATAGTCAGTGGGCATACTTGAAGACTGGCTATAAATCAAATCATCTAAAAGAACAATTCGTTCAGGCCAGTCTTAACACCCTATACAGTAGATTAATGGACTGACACCTATCAGAACACAACTACTCCCCTGGCTGATACCACGAAGGGCGTTGGATTATATCCGATAGGTGTCAGTGCAGGATTCTTCACTGAAGTTATTCCTGCATATGCTGTTGGGGATACAACTGCCGCAATAGATTTTCAATTATTGGAACACACTTGCAGACCGGTTTCGTGCTGTTTGGCCACTCGTCAGTGTGTTCCAATAATTGAAAATCTATTGCGGCAGTTGTATCACCAACAGCATATTATGCAGCATATGTATACGCTCAACGACATGATTTTTAGAATCAGATTTTGAACTAGTCTGTACTTAACAAAGGCAGGTTACTGGTTAGCACTGTAACGAAAATCAGTATTTTTTCATCCTATTATTCATGAAAGATAACATACAATACTCCTGACCTCTGGACTGAATGATTCCGTACAGCCCATCTCGTCTTGTGTTTGAAAATCTTTTGCTGGAAAAATCCTCACTTGTTTACTTTGTTGTAAATGTTCAAGAAGTACCGAAAACTTATGTGAATTTCTGAAATATCATCTAGCTTTTCGTAATATGACTAATAACCAGTTCGTGTAAAGCTTATTGTTAAATCATCTGAAAATGGAATTTTTAACAGGAGATGATCGACTGTATTGTCAAACATGCGCCAAACTAACTGACTGTTATAAGAAAACAAGTATACCTGAGGCACCAGTCAATCTTATTATAACACTGATGATTTTCAAACAAGACTCAACCTCTAACGGAAGCAAGAAACTCTTTAGAAGGTTCGAAATAGATGAACATTTCAACCTAGCAGACCACTATTATAATATTCATGCAGTCATTGTTCACAGTGGTTCTGGCGTTGAATTTGGTCATTATTACGCCTTGGTCAAAGACGAAACGGACTGGTTTAAGTTTGACAATAGTCGTGTCACGAAGTGTTCTGGCGATGCATTGAATTTATTGGAGCCTCTGGAGACATCCTACATTTTGTTTTATAAGAGAAAGCACATTGTTAGATCAAGATCTTCAGATGATGTGGGGCTGCAGGTTTTTCCGGATTTTCCTGCAGCTGAAAAAGCAAATGCGCCACTGGAATCAATGAAGTCGCCCCGTAGCACCAATTAATTTTTATTGTTTTATTTTTATTGTTGTTTCAATAAAATGTTCATGATGAAAAAATGAATAATAAAAATTTATATGAATGCCGCGTTTAATATGAACCTTCGGGATCACTAACATTTCAAAATTCACAACTCACTGCCAAAAATATGCCAAAGTAACATATTCAACCTTCTATAAGAAAAGAATTGCAAATGTTTAAAAACCAATCTCTTCGAACCAAAGCTAAACGTGTTGCGACATGAAAGAAATCACTTTCGTGAACCGCGTTAACAAAACAATAGGAAACGAAAAGTCACACCAGAATATCAAACTTCGAAGAATTCTCTGTTTTTTCAGTTACACAAAAGGAATATTTTGGAGAACATATAAAGAAGGAACAATAGAAGAAGAGAACTTGTACGATGTTTTGAAAAATAGTCAGTCAGAACTACTGGGCAATGAATTAGAAAAATATTTTGAAAATGACCTGAAGAGACATACTTCTATATCGCTCTACAGAATTTTGTGGTCTTGTTATGGATATGAGTATTTGATGCTAGGCTTGATCCAGCTTATAATTAGAACATTGGTTATGTGAGTAATCTCTACAATATATTAGAATTCATTGGAAAAACACTTTTCATTTCCACAAATTACAAAAAAGTTCATTGGAATTTGTATCTTTAACAGTTATTCAATCTCATTTTGCATAATCCATGAGTTTTTTATATTGAAGAGTGTTTATTGGAAGATGTTTTTACCCGTTGAGAGAAAAATATGTTTTTCCAGAATTGTGTCAGAGGAATGTTTTTTTTTTCTTTGTAAAAAACACAAGCACTACAGAAACATTTTTGAGGCGCTCCAAGAGTGTGCGAAAGTAGTGATTCATATTAGATTTGAATCGCTGGAGAACTAATCCATTTGGAAAAACATTCTCAGGAAGTTTATTCCTCATGAACGCAGTTCTCCAAATGGAAGAGTTCTTAAACAGTGAAGTTCGAGGTGTACCGAGTTGGACCTCAAAACTTTGAGCAGCCACAAACCGTCTAAAATTTCTGATATATACCGCTCTTGGTGGAATCAAATGTGCCAAGTTACTTGAACACTTTCCGTGAAAGTATTTATAAGACAAATCCCCAACCTTCCTTCGATGTTCCAGGCTATCAAGGTCGCATGTGATGTTCGCATCTCCAATCAGGTTGATGACTCTTTTTTAATGGAATCCAACAGCTTCAGGGTATGCTTAGGGGGGAGCTCCATATATGAGAACAATCCTTCAAAGAAGATTCGATCTGAGCTTAATGAAGCATCAAAAGTTGCGTATTTCGATCACCAAGTGATCACCTTCAAGAGGAAGATCGTTTTGATCTTCAAGAGGAAGATCAAACTGATCTTTCTCTTGATGATGATTACTTGGTGATCGAAATGCGTGTCGAGGTGCTGAAATAACAGTTTGGCGTTGGGAAAAAACTCCAGTAATATTCGAAACTTATGTTGATGAATATAACGGTTTTGTTGGTTTCTCATTTCAAATTCTCCATCGAGTATTGTTACTTCATAGATCTCCCTCACATTCAGTTATGTGTGTTCTTCAATTAGATCTTGAGAATCTGCGAAGATCTGGATATAGTTGGATTTATTGTTCTCTTCTGAGGATTGTTATCCAATTGGCATCAATTAGCCATTGTTGTATTAAGAGCCAAAAGAAACGGGTTCTTCCAACAGGGATAGTCACCTGGCTTTTCATGATTGGATGGTTCATTCCAAAATACATTTAATTTTTCCTCACGGGACTAGATAATTCAACTGAAAGTCATCACTACCATGTTTTTGTCATTGTCTTCATTACTGAACCATAATTTTTTGGTATATTCGGAATAAAACGCATCTTTCGATTGTCCTGAATGTGTTTAAAACTGTCTGTTTGAAATCTGTTTAAACTCTGTTTTTCCGTTAACCAGCTGTCGTACCCCTACAAACGACAACCCTCAGAAGTCGAAACTTGTGCGAGCTAAGAATTAACGAGGTCTTGCCTTTCAACGTGTGATTCCTAACACGTTATATTCAACCAGAAATTAGTCTGTTTCATATCAATATTCTATTCATTCATAATCATTTGATGTTTTCGTCATTGCAGAGTATCGATACCAATGACTCTCTCAAAAGTTGTTCTCTACTTCCAACCTGGCCAGAAGGAAATCACCAAAAAGGACGCTCTGATACTAGCAACTCTTTTAGTCTCACTGAACTTTTTCAGCATAACGTATCTACATAACTATTTACTTTACCTCGTTGAGATGGGAATCAGAGTGAGAACTGCTTTTTGCTCGGTAATTTATCGGAAGTGCTTGAAAATGACGTCGACTGCCTTGTCCAAAATAACTGTAGGAAAAATTGTAACACTGATGACAAAAGACGTTACTGCTATAGAACTTGCCATCTTTTATGGAAACGATGCATGGATTGGATTCGTACAGGCTATAATTGTATGTTATTTGATTTACTACAGAATGGGACTAGCAGCCTTTGTTGGAATAGGATTTTTTATCGTCGTCATGCTCATACAGAGTAAGTACTTCGATAATTCAACTATTTATATATTCATTTATTTAGGGCAATGCCTATTTTTTACAAAATATTCAACAAGTTCACAAATATGTATTTTACAGTAATCTAAGCTAGGTTTAAGGAAAAAATATATAAAATAAAATAAAAAAAATCGTAAAAATAAGTTAATGAATCACAATCTTTTCAGTCTTGTTAAATGTTTCCCCAGAAGAATTAAAAAATTCTAAATCTACATTGTATGTATTCGCAAGTCTCAATATTCTACCTACAGATTCATTCCAGCCATAGTTGGGGCGACAAAAGGGTACTTTGAAGATTTCTGAGTTTCTTGTTCTCCTTGGATTGACATTTGAAGTTATAAATTCGACAAGTTCCGGAGAATTGATGATACCATTGATTATTTTATGAATTAGTGTAAGATCTGATTCTAATCTTCTATGAGCCAGAGTTTTCAGGTTAAGAATGTCCAATATAAATTTTATAGTCATATTCACCAATATGACATCCCAATTTATATGTAGAGTACCTTAAAAACTTATTTTGAACACTTTCAAGCATATTAATATCCACATGATATGAAGGGCACCAAATTGTGGAATTGTATTCGATTATTGATCTAACAATTGAACAATATATGATTTTTACTGAAGTGAGAGATAATTCATTTACAGATCTAAGAATGGAACCTAACATTTTTAGTGCTTCAGAAGTAATGTTTGCAATATGGGGTTTAAATGACATTTTTGGGTCGAGAGTGATTCCTAAATCTGATTGTGTTTNTAACATTTGAATCGTCTCATTTCAGTTTACGTGGGCAATATAACAAAAAAACTGCGGATGCAGTCATCTAAGAAGACCGACGAAAGACTTCAAACGACTCAAGAAACATTATCAGCAATCAAATTTATCAAAATGAATGTGTGGGAGCGATTTTTCGAAAAGAAAATTTCGTATGCGAGAAAGTAAGTAGAACGGATCGGATATGTCTTACAATGGTCGAACTAACATATGAGTATTCAACAGAAAAACACGAATTAGATGAATGTATTCAAACTCATTTAGAATTCCTCTTGCGGTACACAGCAACTACCGCAGTAGGAGACGAAACTTCCAGCATGAAAACCTGCAAACTATGGGCAAAAACCCGTAAAATAGCATTCACACAATTATCTCCAGCCGTCAGTGTTGAAACTCCTTAATCAACCCATATCAATGATATTAGATTTCTCACTGCCAGTTGTCTTTGAAGTTAGTTTAGCCATAAGTTAGCTTGGTTATTTGGTGCCTTTTCCAAGACACTCACGATCATACAATTCTGGTTGGAAGGTGTTGAAGATAATTTCAAGGTGTTTGGGAAGCTTCGAATTCAAGCCTCGTTTTTCCCACGCCAACCTTGTCATCCATTTCGAACCCATGGGTATGCCTTACCATATGTTCCCACCTAGCTGCGGATCATATAATGCTTCTATTTGAATCTTTTGCGGCTATACAGGTTTCCTCGATACGTGTTTCAATTACCAAGTGATCATCTTCAGTTCAATCTCCCTTATGAAGATGATCACTTCGTGATCGTCGAAGTGTGAAAATAACTGTTTGGTGAGGGATAAAACTCCAGTACACCAAAGGTTCCAAACAGTGCATCTTCACCCAAAAGTATGATGGTGGAAGATACAACAACGGATATCCTCAGAAGTGGACAAACGAGATTCTGACTATTGGGAGAATTATACCGTAGGGTACTCAACCCCAGGGGAAGGAGGTTGATCCACCTCATATTCAGTTCAACTGCAAGCCTCAATATATGCCGATAATGATTGTCTGGATGGTGGGAAAGCCTGGTTCATGACCTGGTTCAGATGGTGCTTTATTGAACACCTCCTTGAACAAATCATTTCGTCTCGACACAAAAACGATAACAGAAATAGTGGTTAAGTGCAACTGCGCATGCATTGGTCGTTCCACTTAGCCTGAAGCTATGAGAGCTGCATCTGAGTTAACGCCTGATCGAGCAGAGAGAGCTTCTGATGTCATCAACATAGTATTCATTTCATGAACCTTATTGCCTTTAAAAGAAGGTTCTTACTGACATCATACCAATGATGTTTGCTTATTAGCAGGGGATTTCAAAAACTTCATTTCAAAGTGATAAGATTCATGAAAAACTTTGAAGCTATAAAGAATTTTTGAGCTTTCATTCAGGCTTGCAGTGCTCATTTCGGCTTATTCCTCAAACCCTCAATCATCTTGTTTCAGTAAGGGTTGAGATTTCGCTAGATCTTGTATATGTCGCCTATGTTGGGGAAACCCGCATGTTCTTTTTTATCAATTCTTTATCAGAGCCTATTAAGATGATCAATCACTACACAGTATTTATACGACTTCTGCCTCTGAAAATGTATTGATAACATTAATAATTTGTTCAAGGATGGAAATGAAAGTGATTCTGAAGACATACCTCACTAAAGTTACGTTATTATTGCTTGGAACCCTAACATCCAAGGTAGCCTTCTACTTACTACTTATGACATACCTATGGTTTGGACATACTGTTACAGCAGAATTGATATATTACATTAGCACGCTGTTCCTACGGATAAGGCATGCGCTCAATGTAGCTATTCCCACAGGTGTAACAACCATAGCAGAATTACGAACTGCTATTGATCGTATTGAAGATCTGATGAGCGCAACGGTTTTGTCCACAGTAGAAAACCAAGAACTGCTCCAAACGAAACCAAGAATCATGCTGAAGAATGTAACAGTTAGCATCGATAACACCAAATTACTAGAAAATGTATCATTCACTGTGACTACCGGACTAACATTTCTCGGCGGGCCAACTGCTTCAGGGAAAAGTATTCTTTTGAAAACCATTCTCAGAGAGTATGACCTTGAAACTGGGAGCAACGATACCAGTGGATCAATTTCGTATTCATCGCAAGAACCGTGGATTTTTCCGTCGAGTCTGAGACAGAATATAATTTTTGGGCAGCAGTTCATCCAATCTAGATATGACGAGGTGTTGAACATCTGCGATCTCCAGCTGGATATTCAAAGTTTTGCGGAAGGTCAGTATTGCATATTGTTTGTATACTGAGAAAAGGGAGATTGGATTCGAAACAAGCACTTTTCCTAATCACCAGAAATGCATTACTTTTCTCGATGCACGTTTCACCAAGTAAGTTAGCATCTTCAGGAGATGAAGTTGGTTAGTCTTCTTCATCTAGTGTTGGAAATATTTCCATGGAAACGGAAGTATTGGAAATTTATGAATCAAATATTAAATTTTTGTCATAAACAATTCGAATTTGATGTTTATTAAGCCATAAACTTACAATAGAAGAATTTTTATATATGAAAGATTCATAAGTTTGCAACTAAGTTGCAAAGACATACTGCACAGTATACAGTGTGTAACAACGAAAACTTAACAGAGCCGTTTTTGAATATAAAAAGTGAGATTTTAAAAAAAAGCTCGGACACGTCGATTTCTAATTAAAGGGGGACACCTTTCAGACTAATCAGATTTTTTGTAGTACGCACCCCCTCGGAGGGTAAATGGCTGACAGTTGTAAAAGGAGATCATGGCACTATTCACTTTGCTGTAAATGCATTTAGCGATATTAAAAGGGTAATTAAGAACAACCTTGAATTGCCCCCACTTAATGATAAAGAGAAAGTTGATTTGCTAGAGATTCTTGACAAAAGAGAAAAGTTTCTTATTAAGCCTATACATTATGCTGCAGAATTACTCAATCCAAAATCACAAGGTTCTGAACTTGATGAAACACAAATCATTTTAGCCATAGAGTGCATAATTAATATAACAAAAACTAAGCTCAGTATAAACGAGCAAGACATAATAGATGACATAGCAAATTACCTTCGTGAGAGTGGCAAATTATTTGGAAATAACTTTATATGGAAAAGTACCTTTGATAACCAACTCTTCTGCTGGAAAGGACTTTGTTCTTCATCTTTACTATCACAAATAGCGACACGAATTTTGATGATGTCAGCATCTTCGGCAGCAACCGAACGCAGTTTTAGCGTTTACAGTCACATTCATTCCGAAAAGAGAAACAGACTTACTAATGACAGAGCTGCCAAACTAGTCTATGTATCCCATAATCAAAATTTACTAAAGAAAATGGAAAAAGGTGATAAGTCATTTTTTATTTTGGAATCTATTGAAGATTTTGAGGCAGTAGACGTGCACGATGAAGATGTTGAGTGTGATGATAGCGATGAAGATATGCCTCTGGCTCAACTTCTCCATCAAAAATAAGATTTTTCTTTGAATAAGTTAAATATTATTTTTCTTTGTTTGTGTTCAAGTATAAGGTATTCTGTGTTTCGTTTTGTTTTTTCGTTTTTTCGAGGAAGTTTGACATTATTTTGGTTGGTTTGGGTTTAAGTATGAGCATTCTGTGTTTTGTTTTGTTTTTTATGAATAAATGTTTCCAATATTTCAAATATTTCCATATATTTCCAATATTTCAGGAAATAATATATTTCCGGAAATTTTACAACACTTTCTTCATCTCTTCAAGAGGCCAACTAGGTTGCTGAAATACGCGTTTTTGGTGATTGAGAAAAGTGCTAGTTTTGGATTTATTCCACACCAGATGTTCAAATTCTACCTTTTATTGAGGAGATAAGAGTTCAGTATAACATGAAAAATGAAGAAGTGAAAAAAGTTTCGTGTCACTCTCTAACTCATTCTGGAATGAAATATAACATAAATATACAGGTGGATAATTTTAAACGTACTGCAAGACATAAATGCCAAGAAGAAGAATTTTTGCAAACTTTCATTCGAATGCGCCAAAAGGAGACGAATAAACCTTAAATCAAATCAATCCAATGAATTTATTGCAGTATATACAATTCATATGCAATAAAAGTTTGTTGATAGATTCATCTTTTTTATGAAAACATATAGGTAACTAATCAAGTTACTTACTTCATTTTTATTCATTTAAACCAGCTTTTATAAAATGTTAATTATATTATTTAGTTACTCATCGAACAGAAAACAGAGAGTTTAAATCAATAGTGCAGATCAAGTCATTGAGTGTGGAGTGCCCCAAGGAACGGTTCTTGGGCCTATTTTATTCAAAATTCATATCAATGATCTCTACAATATTGATGTGGAAGCAAATATTATTAGCTTTGCCGACAACACCGCCCTTCTATTTCGTGGCAAGAATTGGAACAATTTGAAATTTATCGTCGAATCGGAAACTTTATTTCGTTGGTTCGATAGTAGGCTACTAACATTAAACTTTTCTAAGGCCCACTTTATTGCCTTTTCAATTTATAACAACAACTTTTTCGCGTATAATAGAATTACAGTTAATATAAACGGCATTAACATCGAAAGGAGAGAACATATAAAATATCTAGGCCTCATTATAGATCAAAATCTTAGATGGCACAAACACGCTGAATACGTAACAAACAAATTCAGATCGTTGATAACGAAATTCAAACTGTATCAAAAATTATTCGACTCGGTATGCAAGCCTTGCCCAAACACACATAAACTATGGCATACTTGTTTGGGGTGGGATAACTAATAATTATATTGAAAACGTAGAAGTGACACAAAAATGGCTGATAATGATAATTCATAATAAAAATTACAGATTCCCGTCAGATAAACTCTTCCAATAATCTAAGCTATTCACAATCCATCAACTATACTTTTTCAATCTCGCATGTTTCCTTCACCAACACAAGGATGAAGTGCCCCAAATAGACCATCCATACAATACTCGATTGAAAAACACCAAACAACCAGAATACCAAAGATTGGAACTACAAAAAAACAAAAGATTCCTCTTCTATCTATGTCCGATAATCTACTGTAAAATCCGAAATGGAATAAAAATACTCAATGGTCGGTTCTTATTCAAAAAGAAATTGATGGTATGGATTTCAAACCAACCCCCCGAATAAATATTCGAAGCTTTTCAAAGAGAAATATAGAAAACTAGTTTGATACAAATGAACACTAACGACACAAAGACACAGAAAACTTTAAAGTATATTCAACTTGAACTGCCCTAAATATACTTACTGCCTATATTTGTGAACATCAAAAGAGATTCATAAATAATGAACGGAAAAAAAGTAGATCAATATCTGCACTTTTATCATATTCATTATTATTATTTTTATTCCATCATTATATTTTATAGATGAGACTTATGTTTTAATAGCATACCCATGCACAAGGTTTCATGTTTCATGGGTATTCTATTTTATTTGCTATTATTGTTACTCACTATGTTGTACATATGAATGTAAGTTTGAGCAAATAACTTATTAATGATATTAAAAATAGTAATACTAGCATTAATTGCCCAACATTTTCCCATTTGTAGAGCAAAAATCAACAATTCAATTATTCAAATTATAGCATTATCTCTGGAGAATCAATTCTACCAGTCAACAACTCATATAAAAAACAGATGCTTGTTTTCATTCTTCTTTGAAGAGATTCAAAATGAAACTTATGCAATAGTTCGATATTATTGAAATTTCTTCGAGGGTAGACACCAGTTGATTCAAAACTTATGTATTTCGAAAACTTTTTCAATATTTGATATATGCTGATTAAAAATGGGATTCCATATTAATGACCCATATTCTAACATTGCCCTTACTAAGCTGAAATATAGGGATGTAAGACAAAGAAACCAAAAGAGTGACAGACAGAGTTAACAAGAAAATTAACTACTTAATATGATTATCATAATGGGCACCTAGATCCCTGCTAGTTAACACTTGTTTGCGGACTATTATATGATTCAACAACCATGCAATGAATTGAAGGGTTTGATTTGATTGAAAGTTTATTTTAGCCTGATTAACTTGTAAACAACAGTTTGTGCAATCACAGAGGTGCATAAAAAAAGTTCACCATCTTAGGACATCCGTCATATTGGATTTAGAGTGACTTTCCTTCATTTTTTCCTTTGATTTGATTAGATTTCCTGATCATAAGGGTGCATGAAAAACAAAGGGTCTGTCAAACATTATTTTTGTCGTTATTCGCTTAGTTTTGATGCCAGATTTGTAATAAATGAAAACGAAGATGAATTGAGAAAAACTTCAATCTCATAATATCGTAGAAACGTATATGAAGCTGAAACTTTTTGAAAAATAATTGCTTGGTGAGATTTCAGGAGATAATGTCATAATTGGAGACAAAGGAACCAATGTGAGCAAAGGACAAAAATCAAGAATTAGTTTAGCAAGAGCCGTCTACAAAGAAGCTGACATATATCTTTTAGACGACTGCCTGACATCACTAGACGTTCAAGTACGAAAGACTGTTTTCAAAAAATGCATAAGAGAGTTTTTAGGAAACAAAATAGTTATTTTTGTAACTCAGCACCTCGAGAGTGTGTTGCCGGGCGATAATTTGATTATAATGCAGAACGGGGAAGTTAGTTTACAAAAAATAACTCACCGAGAGAATGATAATAATGCCAAAAGTGATATTTTGAACAACAGTGAACTAGCAGTTGTCGTGGAGATGAATAATAACAATATCAGTGAAACTGACGATGAATTCAGTTCAGAAGCTACAAAATTATTGGATTATAACCAGAAATCAGCAACTAAAAATGTCTATCAGGAAGCGAAACATTCTGGCAAAGTACCGTGGGATGTTTATGCTGAATACATCAACTATGGAGGTGGATACTGCGTAATGATTCTGATTTTGATACTTTTCGTTGGTACACAGTTTGCCAAAAGTTACACAGAAAAGATACTCAGTAACTGGTAAATTGAAAACACCCATTCTATTTGCAATTTATTTCGAGTTTTTTAGGATTGACGACGTGCATGAAACGCAACTGGTGGCTGAGAACTCTAACGAAACCATTATCAATGAACCACCGCCTTCTATCACAGTTCTATACTCCTCACTCACCACAGCAACAGTCATTTTATGTTTGGTCACGTCATTTTCGTTCTTCAATTTTACCAAAAAATCTTCCGTTGGACTCCACAAGTCAATGGTTAATGGAATCGTACACGCGGCAATGCAGTTTTTCGACAGCAACTTCATCGGGAATATTTTGAATAGATTTTCAAATGATTTGAGAATCATCGATGAATTGTTTCCTGTTATCGTGTTCGAGTTCTTCGAGGTGAGTCCTTTGAATTTTTTCAGTTGGAGATAATCTGTAGTTTATTCAATTTTATAAAGTTGATATATCAATAATTTCTCAACATTTTGAAACTTTCGGAGATACTCTGGAAATGTAAACATATTCGTGTTCGACAGGTTTTTCATGAATTACAATGAGGTATTCTCTGTTTGCAATAGGATGTTATTGGAAATTGAAAGTAGAAAAAGGTAATTTACAAAGCTATTTCAAATTCCATGTAGCCAATTAATCATAACTGAAAAGAACTCATTCAGTTTCTATAACAACCAAAATACTTTATATTAATTTCAAATGATTTGTTTGAAGGTAATTGACAATGTTTCATGATACATTTCATCAGTTCGAACCTCCATTGTCTGATATTATATAAACTGATTAGAAATCCCTGAAAGAACTAAACTCTAGGGGCAATTGAAGTCACACAGAAAGCTCGACTAATCAGTATCGACGTGGAAAGCCTTTACACCAACGTTCCGGTCGAAGAAGCACTCCATATCGTACAGAAGAAGCTATCTGAAGACGGGGACCTGAAAGATAGAACGAATTTACCTATAGAAGTAATTATGGAATTACTAGGATGCTGTGTACAAAACTGAAGGACGAATTCTTTACCCAAGATAAGAAACTGCCAATGGGATCGCCACTTTCACCAGTCATATCCAATATAAATATGGAGTGACTTGAAACTCTAGCCAATGGTTGAGATACGTTGACGACACCTTCGTAATATGGAACCGTGGGAATATTGAACTAGACGCCTTCCTGAAACACATCTACAACGTAAGTCCTTCCATCAATTTCACAATGCAGAAAGAAGTCCACAACGAATTGCAGTTCTTAGACGTATTGGTGGAGAGGACCGACACTAATTGGGAAACATCTGTATACCAAAAACACACTCATACGGGATAGTATCTCAACCACGAATCCAACCATTATCAATCGACTAAAAGAGGAATCATCAAGACGCTATTAGACCGTGTTTTTGGACTCTGTAACACGAAGGAAAGTTCCGAGAAGGAACAAGACATCTTCAAAAATGATCTTCTACGGAATGGCTACTCCAAAGAGATGGTGGTACAAACTTTGGCTAAAAGACAGCAGGAGCCTCGCAAGAAAGAGAAGCCGTAACAACCAGTACTTACACTTCCCTACATCACAGAACTATCGGAGAGGATAAGAAGAATTGGGTCCAAGTACAACATCAGAACCTGCTTCAGATCCGGAAACACTAACCGTAACAGCCTCACGAAAACCAGGCCACCAAACACGGACTGCGATTCCAAGAATTGCATTTTCCGGATACCCTGTGAGTGCGGAAAATCCTATATCGGTGAAACTAAGAGGCCATTGAATGTTCGCATTGCCGAGCACAAGAAACACACAGAGCGAGGGAAAACCACCAAATCAGAAATAGCAGAGCATGTTTGGACCTATCAACATAACATCGAGTGGTCCCAAGCTAAGATCATACAAAGGGAGGAACATTGGTTCAGGAGGAAATTCAAAGAAGCCGCATACATGTTATACAACAATGTATTCAGCCAAGCTAGCGTAGAGATATGCAACATAAGGAAATCCATAACCAAGCGAAAAATGGCCAACTCTCGTCAAACAGTCATCTCCCACTAAACCGGTGAAGCGGTAAAAGGAAAGCGAAGATAAGTGAAAGTACTCGAATGAGTCATAAATAGTCATCTCTCGGAGGAATTAGTCCGGTCATCACCCGAAGACGATTGTAGATACTAACAATCGAAACGTCGTGAAGTAACTTGACTTGACATCACCTAATTTTTAATTTCATTATCTGTTCAGTTGTTCTATTTTTACTTTTATTTTATTTCACTGTTATTTCATTTCAGGTTTTTTGTCTCAAAATAATTGTTTTTTTCAGCTATTCTTTTTTAATTCTTCTTTTCAGTTCTTTCAGGGATTTCAAATCATTTTATATAATATCAGACAATGAAAGTCCGAACTGATGAAATTCAATTTTGAATGATTTTAAATTTTTCTACATAACTTTTTCGTTCGCTAATCTATGCAACATTCAGCATAACTTCTTGCTCAAAAACTGAATAATTACTTAACCTGAAAAAATGTATAATTTTCCGAACTTGTCAAACAATAATCAGTTTGTAGTCTCCGTCAGTCATACATCTACGGTAAACTACAAAGAAAGAGAAATATAAAAACACCCTATATCGATGTAAATTGACTTCATTGCCTTTCCATTGCCTCGTAGATCGAAATAAAAAAACATATTTCAAGATTATTGTGAAAGCTATTGAGATATTGCTATTGGGCTATTGCTATTGAGTATAGAGTATGTAATTATACTCGAATAAGTCAGTAAAATTGTAATCAATCTCCCTTCAGGTTAGTCAATTAATAATTGATTTTTCCTTTACTCGTTCTCGTATAAACCAGTAATCATAAGATTCATTTCTTCACTTTATCGATTATTGAATGCTTGAATTTCACAGTGAAAACAATTTCAACCGACAAATCCAACATATCGCTGAACAAAACAAAATTATTGTTTCAAGCTGAATGAACTATTGATGCTCCGTTATTTCCAGATTTTGTTTGGGATTTGTGGAACAGTATTTTTGATAGCAACAGTCAACACAATTATTATGATTCCAACTCTGATTATATGTGCATGTTTGTTTTTATTGAGAAAATTGTATATACCCACAGGAAGAAACCTACAAAGACTAGAGACAGCAAGTAAGTTGAACCTGAATTCGAAATAATAGTTTGGAGATGTTTTATTTTTCATGAAAAATAAAACACGAAGTACATGGTGAAGTGATTCTGATTTGTCTTCTTTATTATATAGGTTAGAATGGAATTGATAGAAATATTCTGTTTCGATCTGCTAGGGGGCATTTGCTATTTCCCTTTTTCTGAGGCTCATTTTGAGAAAAGCACTTCTGTGTACGGATGTGTCTACTGTTCTATTTTTCACAGTATAAAATTTATTGGAGCTTTGGAGCTACGAAAACATATGACATCGAAACGGAAAAAATCTTTGAAACAACCTAATTTATTATTACAGTCAGTGACGGCTCGTGCATTGGAGAACAGGGGAGGCTTGAGTTATATAGACTATATACACACAGAAAAGCCTGCCGGAGGCGCCAAAATTTTTATGTTGTTGCAAGCACGCTTTGCTTAATACTAAAGTAAGGAGCTATGGACTTTATTTTAGTTTGTAAACCAATTGAATGGGCGGCCATGACCGCAGCCCCATCATAGGTTTGCGCAATTAACTTTTGCCTAAAATTATAGGTGTCACACGTACAAATTAAAAAATTAAACAAATCGTCAGCTCTCCGCCCAGATGAAACATCATGAAAACCCATAAAACGTTCTACCACATTACCATCTTTGATATATCTAAAAACGATTGAAAGTTGTGATGTACAGGTAATATCGGTAGTTACATCAATTTCCCATGCAAAAAAAGAAACACTTTCAATCTCCTTACTTATATTTTTCTTAATAATGTATGCCACACTGTCTTTAATATGCTCATTTTGGATGGTTTTTGAGGTGCCCGAAAAAACGCTACCGTTTAAAAAAGTGCCAAATTGTGAATCATATTTGCCCCATAACACGAGGTGAATTTTTTAAATTGGAGTATCCTATTTTAGACACCGTTTTGGTATTCGGTTTGTACGGAAAATAAAACACAGGACCAACAAAAAAGTGTTTCTCGTTTAATGGAGCCGGTTAACCAATCGCATTTATTGTTCCAACTAATATTAAATCCACGATTTTGTCGATTTTCTGACGATTTAATTGAAATCAAATTTGGTTGAGGCCTTCCCAAAGTTTTAATAATGTAAAATTTATTATCATAAGGTGAAGACTTAAAATTATTTGTCAGCAACCAATCGACTATATCGTCAGATTTTTTAATTTTGTCCAACTTAACCATAATAAATGAATTTATTATTTCGGGTTAATAGTTTATTCGTTCATGGGCGGTGTGTTTGAGTTTTGTTGATGCAGGATACAGTGTGGTACGTATTACGTAGTGAGTGATAGTGTTTTTTCGGGCACATTATGTATTTATATTAAAAATGAATGGTAAAGTAATGATACCCAAGCATTTTTAGAAAAAAGTAATCATAAGTATTTGTCAGTATCTTTTAATTTATTGCGATGAATAGCCTCAAATTTTATGGGGAGGCTAAGCCTCCGTTGCCTCCTCTGACGAGCCGCCGCTGGTTACAGTTAATTATAGCCCCTTTTGCAGCTTTTTAGCAGAAGCGTCTATTCAAACCTTGTAGCTTTCTTCTTTTTCAGCTAAAGGTCCTGTCGTAGGCTACTTGAATGCTACTCTAGAAGGATTGCCAACAATCAGAGCATTCAAAACTGAATATCTGCTTACCAAAGAATTTGATAACCATCAGGATTTATATACTTCTGCAAACTTTACTTCAAAAAGTTGCCAGAGAGCTTTTGGATTCGCGTTGGATGTATGTTGTACACTGTTCATAGCATTCATAATCGGAATATGTTTAATATTTGATAAAGGTGATAATTTTTGATTAGTCGTTTGTGTACGTATATATCATCAATTAGTAATAGAACAGTTTCGGAAGAGAGATCGTACTTCGCCGAACAGTTTAATAATAATGATAATAAAAATAATAATAGTATTAGAACTATTCGTTCCCTCCCCTCAGGCTCATACGAGCTAATAAGACTGTTGTAGTCCTTCTCGACCACCAGAGCAAGATGATATTTGTCGTGGAGTTTTCAGCTCCTGGCGAGACGAATATCGTCCGAAAAGAGGAGAAAAAACGGATAAAATATCGAGATTTTCTCTTCGAACTCCGCAGACTCTATCCAGACCACTCTGTCGAAATATTGTTCGGATTATTGGAGTCCTTGGTGGAATGATAGCCTCTCCACTCTCGATATCTTAAAATCATACCGGCTTGCCGCACTAAGGCAGAAATATCAGCCGGACAGATGCAGAAAGCTGTCATTCTTGGCTCACTGCGCTTGCTCAGTGCACATGATTCTCGGACCCATTGATCACTTACCCCACGGTGTGGGGAGTGGCCGAAGCGCCCTCCCGAATGTATCGGGGCTTCGGGGGATAGGGCCTGACCAACGCATACTGCGGAAAAAAAATAATAATAACGAGGCAGAAGACTGTCATTCTTGGCTCACTTCGCTTGCTCAGGTTACATACTTTTTGGACCCAATAATCTCTCATCCCACGGTGTGGGGAGTGGTCGTTGCTTGATAATGCTGGCGCGCCCTCCCGAGTGTATCGGGGTTTCGGACGATAGGGCCTGTCCAGCACATACTACAGTAGAAAAATAATAATGATAATAATAATGATAATAATAATGATACTAATAATAATACATGTCTCGAATGTATGCTCTGTGTTGTGAAATACATCCGGAACATGCCTCCTTTTTCGCCCAACATCTTAGGGATTACGTATCCTATTTCGGCGGCAGGGCTATATAGCTCCCGTTGGCACGGCTGAAGAGGAGACTTGCATTAAGCCACCAATGGAGTCAGTCAGAACAACCACGGCGCTCCACAGAACTAGGCCTCTGAGGCCACAAGAACTGGCTTGTTGGGAAACGGAGGTTCATAGTGTTCTAACAGAAGAGGCTAACATCTGGTATAGGGTCGTCCCATCGATTTCCGAATCGGAAGGACGAAATCCGGGCCCTGCGATTCGGAAGATTGAACAGATAAGCGGAAGGCGATCTCGCTTCTGTTCTTAGATTATAATTTGTAATGCTACAAACGAATAATAAGTTTTCAAATGTTTCGAAACAGATACATCTGTGGGAAACGTCGGTCTAGCTATAACTCAAGCCTTCACTCTTAGTAGCGTGGTTCAGTATGGAATAAGACAGTGGGCAGAGATTGAAAGTAAAATCACTTCAGTCGAGAGAGTATTGGAATACACTGAAGCCCCACTAGAATACCAGAAGAAAATATCCAAAACTTCTTGGCCACTTGACGCCACCATAGTATATGAAAACGTCAGCTTTGGATACGAAAAGAATGGACTGAACGTTCTAAGAAATATGAGCTTCACCATAAAGAACAAGGAGAAAATTGGAATTGTTGGCCGAACAGGTGAGTTACTTCCTTCATGAATGAACAATTCATGTTTATATTTTGTTTTCTACTACTTGGGAGCTGCCTCACTTGCCAATGTCTCAAAAATCTCCTGAAAATACCGCAGCCTCATGGACTTATTGGGCTCTACCCCCATCTTCTTACGATGCCTATCCCAACAGTCTCATGCACTGTACTAATCTGTGATCCAATTCCTTGAATTCGCATAAAACATGAAAAGGTCTCTCTGTCTCTTGCCTGCAGTTAACGTGATTTTGTTGAGGTATCCTCTCAATGGACAGTATCCAGGGATTCCCTGTGATTTTTTGAGACGAACCCTAATTCATTGAAGCAGCTCTTCAGTTTTTTCTCGGATGGCCCCTTCTTAAAGGATTTTACTAGTGCGTTCCTTGGTATGTTTTCCCAGTACCCTATATGTCTCTTCTAAACACTTTCTTGTCTGGTCCCCTAACAAAGCTATATATGGGGTTGATAGTTTGAATCTGGCAAAATCCAATCATCAGGTATTTTGTAGACTGCAATACCTGTGTGTGTGTATAGTCAATCATTTCCAGACCAGTCACTTTTGGGTTCAGACATCCTGGCTGTCTATGAAAATATTGATCTGCTTGTTCCATTTGAAGTTCCACTTCATACTAAAAGCCTGGAAGGTTAGTGTATAACTGACCATGTGGGTACTTGAAATGAAGATTTCTTCCCGCAGAGTAGATTCCAGGTCTCGTTTTATAATCGGTTTTGGACCCGTCTGTATACCATATGTTCCTGCCGAGCATGCGTGTTCATAGAGAATGGCTATAGCTGATATCGAACGGATAGAACAATCCAGAAGAGAGACTGCCAAGGCTGCTCTAAACAACCTTGTCGATGGAAAAACTTCCCTGCCATATGTGAAGGAATTTTATCACTGTATCGGGAAAGTTCTGAAGAAAAACGTGAAATCGATATTCAGGCCAACGAAAACCATCAGAGAGAGTCTAAAGTCAGCTAGAACCCCAGCAGCCTTCAGCAACAGCTGGGGTTCAGCGGATCCTTTGTAGATGTGTATAAGTCTACATTGGAACCACGAAGAGAAGTGTAAGTACATGCACTTCTGAAAAAACTCACGCCATTGCGTTTGGCTCAAACGCAAGACCAAAGTTCTGGAAGGAACTTGAAGGTACTATCCAAGACCATATAGGAAGGCGATGGAAACTCAGAAGCACAGGAATAATTCCAAATGGAAAATATAGAATACTAACATCATTGAAATCTGGATACCCGCATTGAATTGCTCCCTTGATAGGTTATTTACTTCATCCAATAAAAACGAAGCCACGCCTACCAAGAATGGAATAAATTCGCTGAACTAAACTGATCTCACCACTTTTTCCAGAGACAAAACATAAGCTCTACAGGAAAATCATTAAGGCGCTGTAAGAGCGGTGCCCATGCGAAAGTAGCGATTCACTTTGAATTCGAATCCCTGGAGATTGAATTCGTTTGGAAAAACGTTCTCAGGAAGTTTATTCCGCATAAACGCAGAGCACCATACATGTTGATAATACTCTGATCTGAGCTTTCTAAAGCATTGCAAGATGGTTCGGAACAGTGTTCTAAGGTTTTGAAAAGCAGCCTTCGCAATTCCAGCGACATGATTGTGGCAAGACATATTGGTGTTTATCTTGACACCAAACAAACTTATCGAAGCAGAAATCAAATGGAATGACGAGACAAGTGTGCTCTCGCCATCAGAGCTATAGATTGGAATCATGGTTTTCTCCAATACAATAAAAAGAGGGTTGGCGACAATATGGATCCCTGGGGAACACCAGCGTTGATGGTAAAAATATCCGAGAGATATCCAACGACGGCCACTCAAAATGTTAAAGCCTTGCAAATATTTAAGGAAATGGTATTATACGATTATTTGGAAGATTTTTCTTGCCCTTCTTGGGAATAGGCTGAACGCAAGCAATCTTCCAACAAGAAGGAAAACCTCCCTTCTTCGTAAGACGAGTTGAAAAGTCTGCCAAATACTGATGCGAGTTCATTGGGGTACTTTTTGAGTACGATGACGGGCACTTCATAAAAATGTTTATCGCAGACTACGGCCAACAAACCCGGGAAGGAGAATCACTTATAGAGTCTGTCCATCACTAGATATATAGACCACCTGATCTTCTGTCTCAATGATGCTTTTTTTAATATTTTAATCATATGTATTAGATATGGAAAATGAAGACCTATCAGTCTTTGAAGTCCACTAGATACTTGTAAGAACAACAAGAGAATTGTTCCGAATTCTTGGAGTTCTTGTTGAATACTCTTCGTGAGCAGAATCAATACTCCTGAAAGCTTTGGATTGAATGATTCCGTACAGTCTAGCTCGTCATGTGTTTGTAGATCTTTTGCTGGAAAAATCCTCACTAGTTTACTATGTAGTACATGTTCAATAGGTAGCAAAAACGTGTATGACTTTCTAGAACTTCAACTAGCGTTTCCTAATATGACTAATAACCATTCCGTGCAAAGCTTATTGTTAAATCATCTGAAAATAGAACGGACGATGATCAACTGTATTGCCAAATATGCGCCAAACTAACTGACTATTGTAAGACAACAATTATAGCTGAGGCACCAGTCAATCTGAAAATAACACTGATGATCTTCAAACATGACTCAACCTCTGACGGAAGCACCAAACTCTTACGAAGGTTCGAAATAGATGAACACTTCAATCAAGCAGACCACTATTATACTCTTCATGCAGTCATTATTCAATTTAATTCTGGCGTTGAATCTGGTCATTATTACGTATTGGTCACTTACATATCAAGATCTTCAGATGGTGCTGCAGATTTTTCTGGGTTTTCCTGCAGCTGGAAAAGCAAGTGCGCCACTGAAATCAATCAAGTCGCCCCGGGGCGCCAAGAAATTTTGGTTGTTGTTGTTTCATAATTCCATAATTTGTATTACTTTCAATGTAACCGAAAATTAAAATCAAAAAAAGTCTTTGATACCCAAGAGAATTGTATGAGTAACTGTATAGTTGCAACACAAAATTTCATATTGACTGAAATAGTGTTATTTTGGAAAACGCATAATTAAATTGTTGATGTACAGTTGATAGTAGCATCAAACTTGATTATATCATAGTATTGGGAAAATTTCTCTTTTAGTTCAGCTCGATTAGTTTTCCAACAAAAAGGAGTACTCTTCATGAATAAAACAAAATCATGGTTTTGTTTTATGTAACATCATTATCAATTGAAAGTCATATCGAAGCAGCAATGAATAAATAAAATAAATACGAAAACTTATAGACTGAAGTATTCCTGTAGCACAGTTTGGATTGTCTGAAATGGTCAGTAAATTCTAGTGTGTTTCGGCCTATATCGAATCATTGGTTATGAAGATTTTACTACTTTTATCTGAAAGGAAATACTTTTTTCTAGGTGCTGGTAAAACGTCGATAATGTCAACACTGTTCCGTTTGTATGAATATGAAGGAAAAATCACTATTGGTGGTATGGACATAAAAGATCTATCACTTGACATTCTTCGATCGAATATCGCTATAATCCCACAGGATCCAGTATTATTCTCTGGTACGATAAGAAGTAATATAGATCCTTTTGACAAATATGAAGACGAAGTTATTTGGAAAGCTGTTGACAAAGTGGGGTTGAAACCGTTATTCTCTTCTTTATCTGCTCGCATCTCAGGAGGTGGGTCCAATTTCAGCTCAGGCCAAAAACAGTTGATATGCCTTGCTAGAGCCCTTGTGAGTGGGAACAGAATTTTGGTGTTGGACGAAGCTACAGCTGATATGGACCAGGAAACAGATCAACTCATAAACAAAGCTGTTTTTGACAGTTTCTCTGGATGTACTTTGATAATAATTGCTCATAGACTTCATTCAATTATGTTTTGTGACAGAGTGATGGTTATCGAAACCGGACAGGTACAAGAATTTGATAAACCCGATATTTTAGCACAGGTGCAAGGTGGTATATTTCACGGTATGTTGAAGGAAGCAGGATTATTGAAGTAGATTGGATGGACTAGAATGTGTAATTATGTTTCATTATTATAATTATTCAAATATATTTATTTTTATAAAGGATGTTTTATTATCATAACAATTTTTTCAATAGTAACGAAATAGTTATTCATATCAATAATGATCAACTTGAAAATCTATTTAAAATCTGTTTTTTCGTTAATCAGCTGTCACCCCCATACGAACGACAACTCTCAGAAGTTGAGAACCTTGTGCGAGCTAAGGACTAACGAGGTCTTACCTTTCAACGTGTGATTCCTAACACTTGAAACTACGCTTTGCAAAATCGAGTCAAATTCTACAGGCAGTGATGGGATATCTACTAAGATGATAAAGTTATGCATTCCACATCTTACACATATCCTTAATCTCTCATATTTCCAATTAATGAAATCAAAAGACTGCAACTGTTTCGAAACTTCTGGAAAAAATTGTCTACGAACAAATGTCTAATTATGTCTGGTTTCAAATCGAATCCTAGTGCGACCACTACACTTCTCAAAATCACTGATGACATTATCGAAGGTACAGACAAGAATAAAACCACTATCTGGCTCTCCCTAGACTATACTCAGGCGTTTGATACAATGAATAATTCCCTATTATGTCGCAAATTGCAATACTTTGGATTAAGCCAGGAAGCGTGTTCCTTTTTGAAATCATTTTTGTCTGAAAGGAGTCAACGAGTTGTTAGAAATGGTAACCATTCCTCTGAACTCATGGTCAACCACGGAGCTCGCCAGGGTTCTGTATTTGCATCATTACTTTCTATTTTAACATCTACTTTGATTATTTCAATATGAAATCATTATTATCATTCAAAAATAAAGTCAAAGAAATTATTTCCAGTAAACAATGGAATGAAGTGAAACAAAATGAAACATTGTTCTCTTTTTTCCTACCTTTGTTTGTAAGATTCGTCGTATAATAAGAATGTAGAAAAAGTGGATAAACCGTTGCATGAGCTTAACTCAGGAATTGTTGAGTGACGCCAACGGCGATCCGTATTTGCTTGAAAGGGTCATAGCTAGTGATAAATCATGGCTACGACATCGAAACCAAAGTCCAATCGTTCCAATGGAAGAATCCAAGAGAGCCAGGACCAAAAAAAGCACGCCATGTTCGATCAAATGTCAAACTTTTGCTAACTGCATTTTCGATTATCGTGGCGTAGTCCATCAGGTGTTCTTGACACATGGTCGTACGGATAATAAGAAGTATTTTCTTGAAGTTACGCGCCGCTCACAAGAAGTAACATGAAGAAAATGTCCGGTATTGTGGAGAAACAATTCAAGGCTTTTGGATCAGGATAAGGCACCTGTTCACTCGTCATTGCTTGTTCGTAAGTTTTTGGTCAAAATCGCCTCAATCACGCCTCAGCCACCGTATTCACAAGATTTAACCCCCTGCGACTTTTTCCTGTTCCCAAGATTGAAGTGTGTGGCACCGAGAACGAAACGAATCGATTATTTTCAAGACACATCTGTTAAGAAAAAAATGCTAAAATAGTGTGGACCCTCCAACAATTTTTCCACAAATATATGATCACAGAAGTTTTTCTTCAATACAAAAGGAGAGAACGAATTTAATCGGAACAACTCTTTTTGACTATGCATGTTTGAGTAATATTTGCATCAGTACATGCTCTACAAAAAGTTTTTACTGGTATTTCTTGCTGCGTTTGGAGTAATCAATCTTTTTCAATTCAAAAAATGAACAAAGCTGAATCAATAAAGAATAATGAGAGTCAAACTGTCAGTCACTTGTTATTTTCACGAAGTCTGGCAACAAATTGAATGATAGATGTAAAAAATTAAATGTTTTGATATCAACATCTGTTCACAAAAATGATTTGAAGCTATAATAAATAAATAAATGTTATATGCGAGCGCTTTCGATAGCAGGCTGTGCTATCATCTTCAGGGATTTACTCAAACTGAATGTTTTATCTTCTTGTTTGTTCTTTTGTACGATTAGAAGGCCTCAGTGCAGGTATTCGTCCTCTCCTTTCATTCGGATGTCTCTTTAAATTTGTCTGTACTTGGGTTACATCAGATAATATCATTTGTGTTCGTGTTTCATTGTTTCTAGGAATGTGTATGTGTATTGAACAAATGTAAATCAAAACACAACAAGACCTAACATTCAATATACTACACAAAACATTACACATTCCTATGAACCTAGAGAAACACCAACACAAAGGATATTATGTGATGTAACCCAAGTACAGGCAAATTTCAAGAGACATCCGGATGAAAGAAGAAGACAAATACCTGCACTAAGGCATTCTAATCGTATAAAAAACCAAACAAGAAGATTAAACGTTCAGTTTGAATAGCGCTATGAAGATAAAGCACAGCTTGCTATCGAAAGCGCTCGCATATAATATTTAGAAGTAATTGAAGCTTCAAATTCTTTTGGTGAACAAATGTTAATATTCAAACATTGAACACGAAGGAAAACTGGTTGCAATAATCAAAAAAAATATTATAAACTCAGCTTCCTTTAGACGGTTAACGTTTCAAAAAATAATCCCTTTCCGCCCTGAAAATCTAAAAGTTTAGTTGTAAAAAACACCTCAGGCTAAGACAGTAACCCTGAAGATAGCAAGACACATTGGTTTTTTACAAAAACAGAATTTTTTCCACGTTTCTTCGAAAGTACTTTCACTCTCTATGAAGGAGATATACAGTGTGTCCGCAAAGTATGGAATAAATTCGATATTTCCAAAACCAAAGGCCGTTTTACAGAAACCTGAAACACGTTGATTTTTAATTTTACAACAAAATTTCGTTATACACAGTGATCCATATTAATGTGATGACGTCATCGGTATTTTTTTCAATGCAACACCCTGTATTTGGTGTCAGTTTTAGATCATCCGTAACGAGCTGATTCCGAAAAGGTATGATACTTGAGGTCTAACGAACAGAATTTGAAAGATGTGCGCTTAGAAAATGAATTTAATTGATATCTAATAAAAGTAGAAATTAATTAATTATTTTATATTTTTTCTAATGATAACCTCAACAATGGGAAAGTAATCCGGTAATAAATACATGACTTTATTTTAAATGTTAGAACTGTAGTCCTCGCTAGGTTTTTGCGGACACACTGTAGAAACTTAAAATGCTTCTTTGCAAAAAGTTATCTCTTTCAAAAAGCTTTCCTTTTCCTTTAGTTTATTTGTAGATTATTGATAGATGCATTGGATATGTAAGTGAATGTCCAGCTAGAAAATAAGAAAAATCGTTCTCATCAGGAAAGTAGCCTCACCTCACCAGTTCTTGCATATTTTTTGAATATTCGACAAAAGCAAATCTGTCAAAAATTTCAATTTCTTTTCCAAACAGTGACCCCTCTAAACTACGCCTCTGTTATTTATATAGAAATGAACTTCGGTTCACTCGATAGATAACGTTATTTTATTTATGTTTTCCCCTTCGAATAAAGATAAATCAACAATCAGAGTGAAGATTCAGGAAGTAGTAGTGAAGACCTGTCACAGTGTCGTGAACTTATTCGTGTGTTGCCCAGATGAAAAAAGACAGTGGCGGAGATACCAGTGACATGGAAAGTGAAAATGAGGAAGAGATTGCTCAAAAAAAACCATATTGATTCTTCTGACAGGTCGGGATCCTACTTTGGATTTGTTTCAACTGTTCCAAAGTCTCGTTGAGAATTACTACATGGGCTGAATGTCTTCATCGTAGGTGCGACACACTGTACAAAATGCATCTGTACTTGTTCTATTGTTCGCGTAACTGAGGAATGAATGGAGGTTAAATTTAATAAATGTAGGAGCAAGTCGTGAATGAGGCCTAAGTGAAGATTTTAATTCATAACTAGGTAATTATTATATTAGTCGAAATTTGCCATGTTTGTAACCCGTTCAGTGTGGGCTTGTTCCTGTTCGAATGGTATCGCTAGTTTCGTGGTGAATATGTATGTTCAGTGTTGATGTTGATTCATGAAAAGGTCGGAAAGAAACTTAGTGATTGAAGGTATCAACAGAATTGTCAGTTTGTTTTGAAATTGTTGCCTCCATTTCAAGATGTGAAGTTACTCGATGAGGGACACTTTATACATAATTGGTTCTGTGCCAAAGAGGTTTTTGAACACACGTTTTCCAGTTTATGTCCGAGATATTTTACTACTGAATGTTTTCACATATAGGATTGACACTAAAATAAGGAAAACAGGGTAGATTTTTGTCCGTCCTCCTGTTTTTAGAGAAGCTCTATACTAGGTTGAAATATCAGCTTCATGATCCTACCAGTTTTGAAATGATCTCAACCACTAATATATAGAAGTTTCTCTCTATTATACACAGAATTTTGAATCAAATTGTTATAGCAGAGGTTCCTAGTTTCATTTGGCCATGGAACCCTAGGTGGGCATACATTTTTTGACGAAACCCTAGCTGGTTATTTCGATAACTGAAGTGTTCACCTAGTAATTGGAATATTTTCATGTTATGACTCGAAGAAGTGAAAAATTATGGATAGAAATGATCGTTATGATGGCACAACTACTTGATATGGAGAATGAGATATTTTTTTGTGAAGTACTATCTCCTCCCTATATCTGCAGAGTAGGGAGGGTGAGTGAAGCCCACAGTACTTAGGTCACATGTGACCCATCCTAGGTCATCGTCCATCCTGTCCTTTCCAAGAAGGTTGACAGGTCACTGGGAGACATCTCCTTTATATCGGCAGGTGTAGGTCAAGAGTCACCGAATACACACTCTCTTATTGACGATAACTCAGGACACTCGCATAGGACATGCCTGACAGTTTCATCTTCCTGTTCAGACATCCTGCATAGAGGTGTGTCCACTAGCCCCATACCATGGAGGTGTTTTTCAACACGTGCAAAAACCCTGTGACTCTTATAGGGAACCCCAGGGTTTCACGGCTCCCTAGGAATCTGGGATCTGTAGAACCTCTCATACCTATGACGTATAATATGTTAAAAACAGCTCAACTGCAACACAAATGTTGACAGTGACATACGGAATTTGTACTCTGAGTCAGGAAAATTACAAGTGGTACAAGATTTTCACAGAAAGTCGAGAAGATGTAGACGTCCCAGCACATCATCAACCGATGGAAATATTGAAAGAGTGACAAAAAACTGTTAGGCTGAGTCGTCGAATGACTATTAGGAAAGTTGCCGAGGATGTTGACATAAAGGTTGGCTCATGCCATGCAGTTTCTTCTTAGATTTTGGGTATGAACCGTGTGGCAGCGAAGTTCCTTCCAAAACTGCTGAATTTTGACCAGAAAAACCGTCGCATGAGCAACTGTTGAATATCATGAATGATGGCCACATGTTCGTGTGGTCAAAGAGGAGTCCAGTGTTGCAGAGAAACAATTCATGGCCTTTGCATCATGATAATGCACCTGGTCACCTCAATCATGCCTCAGCCACCGTATTCTTCAGATTCACCCCTCGCGATTTTTTTTTGTTCCCAAGATCGAAAAGACCTACGGAAAGATAGCGTTTTACGTCGATTGAGGAGACGAAAACTGAATCGCAATGATACATCAACAAGTGCATATCATTGGAAAAAAAGGTGATGAATAAATAAATATTATTTGAGAGGAATTGAAATTCTTCTAATTTTTTAAACAGACCTCGTATGTGCGATTGTTGGTGGAGCATCTGGGAACAGACACAACAAATTCACTACAGGTGAACTTATTCACGGTTCTGGAACATTTGAGTGAGAGATTTTTCAACGTTCAAAACTGTTTTATTTAATGTGGAATTTTAGCACTGATGAGAAATTGAGGTGAAGGGATATATTTGAATGCGATGTCAAAAAATAGTTAATGAGTAAGTAATAATTGAAGACTTATCCACCCTGTTCATTTCTGGTTGAATAATTACACCCTCACTATTCTATTTGGGACTATATTATTCTTCATACCAGACATCATGGATACATGAATACAAAAAAAGCAACAGTCATTGAGCTTGTACACCACTTACACAGAAATGTATGAAACCAATGGCGATTCTAAGCCAGCTCCCCATTTCGTATATCTAGTGACGTCACAACCTTATTCTCTGAACCAATTCTTTGAGGTTGTTTTCTGAAGCTTCTAATTTACTTAGAGAAATTGTTTATCCACCAATAATCTTCGATTAAAGACCGTTTTCATTTTGTGGCAAAATTAGTGGAAATGAGATCAATCTAAATGGAACAGAAGATACAAGAATGAATTTCAGACATTGTGAATGTTAGAATTTGTACTCTGTAGTCACTTCAAGTTTGAAGTCAATGACATATATTCAGTCTTGCAACTCGTTGATGAATCATTGAACAATATAGTTTCACAATTGGACCTTTTCTCTGGTTATAAATAAACGTTCAGTTCAACCGGATCCTTCATACAATTTCCTTATTAAACATGTTAATAATGGCAAGTAACGGACTACAGAGTGGTCTTATACGGAAGAAAATTCGAATTTTGTTCACCGCTCATATTTTCACCTTTATGCATAGTGATTGCCAAATATTGCGTGTGCTTCTAGAAGTAGAGGAAGTTTAGGTTTAGGAATTATGGATTTTGGAATTCTACTTTGAACTTCTAGGAGTAAGCGCTCAAATTGTTGCCTTCATCGTGTGCCAGAGAGGAAGTAAAGTTATCCCACATTTTTCTCATTTGGTTGAAGGTTGATATATTAGATAAAACTAATTAGAAAAACGACTAAAATAGGAAAAATTCACATCTTGATATGGCAGTCACATCACAAAACGTAAAATGTCTTATATTCAGTATATTTCTCGAACAATAATAACAAACTACATTAAATTAGGAGCAATATCAACTCTGAACAATTGAAGAAATGACTAAGTAGAAATCCACGTGAAACATATCAGTGACGAATAAAGGAAGATATGGATCACTGCGAGAAAAGGAAAAGAAAACAAAATCCTCGAGAAACTGCTAATATTTTTTCTTTGCTGACTTTTGCGTGAGTATTTTATCATTAATGAGATTGAAGGTAAGTAACCCAAAAAATATTGAAACCTAAACTTCACAACTGTTTCAAGATCATGAGTATGATTATTCAATATATCCATATCAGATCTGGTAGTTTTTTGACCATGATCAAATAATTTTTTCAATTATTCCATTGAAACACACTCGGTAGTAGTCATGATCAATTTTATCATCATTGCTACCTTATATTACTGAATTTTGATAAACACATCCGTGTGTTTACATTCACATTGTGAATTGGAGGATGTATTCAATAACTTAGAAATTGAATATTTGTATTTTAATAACTTCACTAGTTTACTCCGCTTGGTATCGCTGTTGTGTCTGTACTGAATAAAATAAATGTTTTCTAAACAATCGCAATCATCAGTTCACAATTAGTATTCGCGCCGTTCGTCGTTTCCCTTAGAATTACTGATCGATGCTTTAGTACATTCTCAAAACACTGACAAAGTTTGGATTTGCACTACAACAGCACGCTGTCAGAAACATGTTTCACATATTCCGTTTCATAGAACAACAAAATCTAGTTTCACCCAACCTGACTTCGCAAACGACCATAGAATAAGTCAGAAACGGTCGGAACTAGGTACTATCAGGTATCAAAACAGGTAGTGATCAACATTAGGAAAAATCACTATAAAGTCATGAGATTTAGTCTTACTCTGATGATGTTAACTTGGTTGGTGAAACATGAAAGACATATTTTCTGTTCTGGCATGGGAATCGTAAGTATATTCAAAAGATTCATTCCACGCCAGATGTTCAAATTCTTTACGATACTCTCTGCTAAGTTAGTATTAGATGGGCTGGAAAGTTTTTCGGCTAACTCACAGGTGGCGCTACTAGTATCAAATCCATATGATTTTCATTCAACCCTAACATTTAAAAGACACGTGTAAAAATTTTGACAGATGCTGGACTATTAGTTTGTGAGTTTGTGGGATATAGTTTTTTGAGTGAAGCAACTTTTGATACTTCGGATAAAATGAATAAATAGAAAGTTCGTTCGTATGAGTAGGGAGGCCCACAGCACTTAGGCCACAGAAGAAGATAACTGAGGCGCTAAAGAAAGAAACGTGCTGGACATATCTCCTGCATGAATATTTGGGTATGTAAAAGCTCTAATCAAACTGGGAACCGTGCGAGCTCAATCGACCAAAAACAACAACGAATTGATGGTTCTGAGCAGCGATTCAAGCTGTTCCACTATAAAAATCCCGAATTTATGCGATGATATGTGACAATGGATGAAACATGGCTCCATCATTTCATGCCATAATCAAACAGTTCGTCATCTGAGTGGACTGCACGTGGTGAACCGACTCCAAAGCCTACAAAGACGCAACAGTTGGCTGACAAGGTTATGGTATCAGTATTTTGAGATGCGCATGGCATGATATTCATCCACTATCTTGAAAAGGGAAAAACCATCAACGGCGACTATAACATAGCGTTATTGGAGATTTGAAGGACAAAATTGCAGAAAAACAGCCTCATTCGAAGAAAAAGAGAGTGCTGTTCCGCACCACATCACAAATCGATGAATACGATGGCAAAATTACATGAAATGCGCTACGAATTGCTTCCACATCCACCGTATTGTCCAGATCTGGCCCCTAGTAATTTTTTCTGAAACTGAGGCCTATTTTGAGGCTGAAGACAAATCGTTCTATAAAAATGGTATAGAAAACTTGTATTACCGCTTTGATCGTTATACCGCCCCCGAAGCCGATTATATCGAATAATAAAATCAAAAATGTTTGTTTCTATGTTAGCCTTCGAACTTATCAGTTCAACTATTAATATAAAATGAAAGGGGGTTATTAAACTGTTTGGATTCTGAGCGAGTCGCGACCCTTCAAATAGTGTGAGAAGGGATTTGAATTCGATATGAGTATTCAGTGCATTTTAGTTCTGCAAATCTCAGTTATACAAGTTGAAGGTAGGCTATATAAAAAAACATATAAGGGTACAAATCCACGTATAAACACTTATTGGTGATAAGTCGTCCTTTTGTGAAGACTTCACAATATCGGTTCATTTAAATATTTGCACATTATTAAAATTATAACATCAACTAATAGTGATTGATTTTCCAGTTATACAGCCAGCCTGTTCAAAAAGGCTTATAAAAATCACGATCTTGAAGAGAATGACTTATACGATGTGTTGAAAGCGTGTTGTTCAAAAAAATGCGGGGATAAAATAGAGAAAAAGTGGAAAATCGAAAATGAAAAGGAAACCCCTCCTTCGATTTATAGACTGATGTGGGCTACGTTTGGGTGGAGATATATTCTTAGAGGCGTCATTCATCTCTGCTGGAAAGTATTCAACAGGTTTGTATATGTTCGTCCCTGAAAACGATTTTTTCCATCAAAATAAGTTAGGAATTCAAAAAACGAATATTCAACTCGAAAAAATTGATGAGATTATAAAAAATTTGTAGGTATATTTCCCTGTGTATCTCTGAAAAGACTATACCGTTCTTTACCTCCGATAGAAAACACAGCAAAATAACATGGCAAAGATACAGCTATTTGAAATAATGTAAAATTAGATTGTTTTCTGAAAATGCTTCTTCAGATATGCACATTTTTCAAAACCTATATAACAATCACTGTTTGTTTGAAGGTGATTGACAATGTTTCATGATGAATTTCATTAGTTCGGACTTCCATTGTCCGATATTATATAAGATGATTTGAAATCCCTGAGAGAACTAAAAAAGAAGAATTACAAATAGATAGCTGAAAATAACAATTCTATCAAGTTCTATCAGTTTCACCAATATAGGATTTTCCGCAGTCACAGGATATCCGGTAAATTCAATTCTTGGAATCGCAGTCCGCGATTGGTGGCCTGGTTTTCGTGAGGCTGCTACGTATAGTATATACAGATCTGAAGTAGGTTCTGATGTTGTACTTGGAACCAATTCTTCGTATCCTTTCCGATAATCCCCTGATGTAGGGAAGCACAAGCACTGGTTTTAAGATCATTTTTGATGATGTATAGTTCCTTCTCGAGACCTTGCTTCGTATTACAGAGCCCGAAAGCACGGTCTAATAGAGTCTTGATTGATGGTTGATTGATGGTGGTTGGATGAGTGGTTCAGATACTGTCCCGTGTTAATGGGTTTTCGGTATACAGATGTTTCCCAATTAGTGTCGGTCGGTCCTCTTCACTAATACGTCTGAGAACTGCAATTTGTTGTGGACTTCCTTCTCCATTGTGAAATTGATGGAAGGACTTACGTTGTAGATGTTTTTCAGGAAGGCGTCTATTTCAGTATTCCAAAGCGGAACTATAAATAGTCAGTTCTCGGAGAAAGCAGTCCAGTCATCACTCGAAGACGATTGTGAATACTTACAATCTAAACGTCGTGAAGTAACTTGGCTTATAATCTCTCAACTTTTTATTTTTAGTTTTTGTTCAATTGTTCTATTTTTACTTGTATTTTATTTCACTTTTATTTCATTTTAGATATTTTTACTTTATATAATTGTTATTTTCAGCTATTCATTTTTGATTTTTATTTTTTAGTTCTTCCAGAGATTTCAAATCATTTTATATAATACCAGACAATGGAAGTCCGAACTAATGAAATTCTAAAAATCACTATTTGAAAACTGTCATCATACTATTACTATACAGGGTGTAACTGAGTAAGCAAATATTCTATATGAAGGATGCTGCCGTTGAGGATACATTTCAGCATATCTTCTAGAAGCTTCTAAGCCATTCCCCTGCGACAGATCGTAAACGTAATGTATATCAGCCATTTCCTCATTTGTGTATGCCATTTTAATAACAAGTGAATTAATAAAGTAACAAATTAAGAACAGAACAACAACACACAATTAGTATTAATTCAATTTCGAAAATTCACAAACTGACAGCGTCATACCAATTTAATTGTCACTATCGCGCATAGCGACCTACCAGATAGATTAGTTTCGTATTTTCGCATTTATGACGATGTATGTCTGTAGATGTTCGTAAAATAATTTTTTGCCGCAAAATGGTTCATTTTGGGCAAAAAACCCTAGAGATATTTTTTATTCAGAATAAAACAGGCTAACGGAAATACATTTTTAAATGGTTAACAAATAATAAGACAATAAGTTACATTGGAAATAAATTTTGGGGGTTGCGTTTTCCACCCCTTACAACCATGGGTTAAACCAAATAAATTTCTGGATAAGTGTCTTTTTGGTAGTACAAAACGTCAGGTCAATTTCAATATTGTGATTTTTTTAGATCTTGTGAAAAAAATTGTTATACAAATTTTATGTACCCCCTTTAAGGGGCTGTATCTTAACAAGGGATGCTCCAATGAAATTTCTTCATACGAAAGAACTTATCTTTTTTCTGACGAGGAATCACCTCGTTAAATGTTTTACACTTATTTAGTCACACCCTGTATTTTATAATTTTGAACTCTCTAATAATGACTTTTTCAACTTATTTTTTCAGTATCGTGGAACCATGGGCTTTCAGTCGATTGATCTCTTATTTCAAACCGGGACAAACCACAATGACAAAAACCGAAGCTTACTACTACGCAGCATTAGTATTAGTAATCCATCTAGTTTACGTCGTTTACATCCACAACTACGTCATCTGGATGTATCAACTAGGCCTTGAAATAAAAACGTCGTTTTCTTCGTTACTCTACAGAAAAGCTCTGAAGCTAAGTCCAGCTTCAATCTCTGAAATAACTTTGGGGAACATCGTTACGCTTATAACAAGAGATGTCCATGCTTTCGAGCAGTCCATTTGGTTCATCAACGAAACTTGGATTGGGAGTATTCAAACATGTTTCATTTGCTATTTGTTGTACGCGAAACTTGGTGTGGTTTCCTTCATTGGAATAGGAATATTACTGAGTGTTCTACCATTGCAAGGTATGTGGTGTATAAATGATTAGGAATTATAGTTGGAGATATTGAAATAAATACTGAAACTAGTTACAAAATTGGAATCATACAGTGAGTTTCAAAAAGTTTGCACCATATTGCAAACTTTTTTAATATCCATTTGTCATAAAAAAAATTTCCTGATAAAAATTGGTGCGTTGCGGGAAACTTGGAACGGGGAAAAAATTTGATCAAGAGTGAACAAGTATCCTTATTTTCAACATCATTGAAAAAGTGTATTTAAAAAACTTATTTGAATTTGAAAACAATATTCATATTTGAAATCACAGCCGCCTACGTAAAAAACAAAAAAAAAACATCTCTAACCTCATAAATAGTAGGAGTATTAGTTAATTATTCAGCATTCAATAATTCAGTCATTTATTTCTTCTCATTAAATCATACTGATAGTTATCATGGACATACATATAGAGTAAAATACCAATTTTGCATTAAAAAACTAGTGATGATTCAAACCATTTTCAATAAACATCGATATACTAGTTTGAATGATAAATTGGACTTAATTTCGCATTGAAATATTAATATGAGGGAGGCACCTAAGATGTATATGAGATACTAGTACTCTTTATGAGACTAGAACGTTAAAAAAATTGATTTTTTTTTATTGTCTGAATATTGTCTTCAAATAAAAAAACAACTTTTTGAATAATTTCGAATAATTTAGTAGTTTACTCTTGATGAAAATTTCTATTTTTTGTTCTTCCCTGTATACCTTTCGGAAATTTAGAATTTTGACAACTCGAATCCAAGTTTCCCGCAATGCACCAATTTTTATCAGTCATAAAATTTTCTGACAAATGGATAATAACAAAGTTTCCCATATGCAAACTTTTTGAAACTCACTGTATATAAGATACTTCGCTAAAAACGGAACTTATATAGGGTCTTCCAGCAGGGATTTCCGAACAATCAATAAAGGCTACCTTGTTGAATCTACATCTGTCAAATTCATTCTGTTTTGCCAAATCGCCATGGACGGATATTGCATTCAACAACACCTGCAAATGATAAAATGTTTTATAGAAATAGGTATAGGTACTGTTTGGGCAGCGTACCGCGCGCTTCGCCCATTAAACGGTTGCCATAATCGTCCTACCGCAATATGGTGGATGAATTTCTCTCCACTGGTTTAGTAAACAATCGATCAACACACGTACGTCGACGAAACGCAAGATCTGCCGAAAACATAATCGCTGTCTGTGAGAGTGTGCAGGAGAATCCGAGCCAATTTTAACTGATCCAGGATCTGAAGGTCAACGACCATAGACAACGATGTGTGTTCGCTGAATGGACCCTGAAGTAGTTGGCAGCTGACCCTAATTTTTGTCAAAAAATCATCTTCAGTGATAAGTCCCATTTCTGGATGAGTGGGTTAGGTTAGGTCCAAAGTGAATGGGACCATTCGACCCTCCACCGCAACCCGCAAGGGTTTATTGTGGCTCACACATATTCACACTCGATCAAATAAACCCAGCTTCTTGACGAAGCCGATTAGTTTGTATAGTGAGTGGTCTATCAGGTCAGATGGTAAAAGTACGGCCCTAGCGAAACCTGATTCGATCTCCAGTGAGGCAGGCACAAAGTACATGCTCTGCTGTTTCATCGTTAATGAGGTAGTCGGATAGTCAAGGTGTAAGATTCTCACCTTGATACCCGCGACAACCTTTCCATATGAGGGTTTTTGCACGTCAGCTACACCTGATGATGCCTTAGATTCAACCGTGCAGGGCTTTTTTGCCTCTAGTTTGGTGAATCATCACTTGACTGCAAACGTTTGCTAACCTGCTCCTGGGGAGCTCAAGAATTTGGGGCAAGGCGCTTTCATAAGGTACCCCACTCTTGAGGAGACGACTCAGTCGTTTCCTGGCTGCACCACCAAACCTATTTTTTAGGTTCAGTTATTGGATCAAGAGTTCGTTGGAGTCGTAAGCTCAACATCCATCTCCTCTGTAGACTCAGTGTCGGAAAGAATTTTTAAGTTTACTCTGCCCATAAAAGTCCCACGAGTAGACAGGGAAAGGTCAGTCATGGCAGAACCCAGCATTACCGTGACAAGGCGATACTACGACGAAAGGGCGCCCGTTATCTCGAAGGTTCCGTAAAAACAACTGATAGGCTCAGTGTCATTCATCTCCTCGGCACATATACACACACCTTAGGATCAAGCCATCGTTAGGATGCCATTCAGTTAGGGAATAACAGAACCACAAGTGATTCTGTCATTCCCGTATCCAGCATGGCTACGTGGAAGCAGGCATCCGATGGCTGGTTTGCTCAACCCTCACATCCCAAGCCAATGCACTCGCCAAAGACATCATGCACAGTGGTTCAGTCAGTGAAAGATGAACAAGGACAGTCAACCCGCCAAGAGCGTCCAATGCATACCGAAAAAGTCACTATTTGGTGTGAATTTTAGACTGGCAGTGTCATCGGTCCATATTTCTTTGGGATCCACCTGGCCATCACTGTCAGCATCGAGCACTATAGGTCGATAATAACAACTTCTTCTGGCCTGAATTAGATGATCTGGACACCAACGACATGTGGTTTCAACAGGACAGCTCTTCTTGCCACACAGCTCATGCCACATTGGATATTCTGCACGAGCGATTCAATGGCATGGCCATCTCACCTGGAGGTGATGTGAACTGCCCAACGGGATCGTGCGATTTGTTTCGTTAGACTTTTTTGTGAGGTTTTCTCAAGTCACAAACCACAGCGGTTCTCAAAGCCAACCTAACCCATCTCATCGGTCAAATTCAGCCTGATTTATGCGCCAGGGACATGGCGAAAGGCGAAAAGTAATCTTCGTGTCATTCAGGCTTGGAGTCCAGCTCCCTTACCCTTTCGGCTGATTTTTGGTCTCGAGAAGAACCAATGGGTTCATGACTGATGGTATGGCGGCATGAAGTCCTCAGACATCAGTACCGCCCTTCACGGGATACCCCTACCTGACTGGGGTGGGATGAATGAGAAAGGTATTCATCCGTTAACGGGGGACATGAGGGCCTCAGAGTGTCGGGGCCTTCTATATCGAAAGGGGTCGTCTACAGCATAGTCTGTGGCTTCCCTAACTAACGGGTTTTCGTGAGATTCCGTACCTTCAAAAACTCGCTGATTCCTCGACTGAATGGACTGCCGAATGGAAGGCAGCTGCAAATCTCTGCGGATGGCTTCGTTCCACACAAACCAAGGAGCATTCACAATTATTCTAATTAACTTATTTTGTAGTCTTGCCAAAATGGAAATGTTGGACGGAGCCGCTTGTCCCCAGACTCCTGAAGCATACATGATGACAGGCTTGAACATCGTGTTGTAGATGGTAATCTTGTTCTTTGTGCTTGATTTGGATTTTCAGTTGACCAGAGGGTACAGATTAGCTATCCGACCCTCGATCTTTGACTTAACGCACATGATGTGCGAGTTCCAAGTGAGCCTACGGTCTATTAGAAGACCGAGGTACTTTACCCGCGCTTGCCAGTCAATCTCCCTTACAGAGATTCTCACTTTTCTGGCCAGAGAAGATAGTAATCTTCCCATGGTTATCGCCTGAGTCTTGTCCGGGTTTACTCGAATCTTCCAATCAAGGTACCAGCGCTCGAGGTCGTCCAATGCACGTTGCATGTAGACGACGCCGAGCTCTCGACCCATGGAAGATGAGAGAAGAGCCGTGTCGTCGGCGTACCGGGATATCTTCACACGCTCGGACCTGGGGAGGTCGCTGGTGTAGAGAGAGAGGGCACGGCCCCCTGTGGACCAGGGACATGGAAAATTCGACGTTTCGAATGTGCTCCTCCTAGAGAAGCCGTAGCGGACATTTGAACGATGAAATATTTCACCCATAATGGCGTCAATAGGCTTTTGAAACGAATAAAAATTTCGATGTTATCTCACACACTTTGTTTTATTCGAATTTAAATATAGGAAGCGCTTGATGAAAGACCCTATACATATTTTCCATAAACATTCGGCAGAAATATATTTTTTTAGGAATTTTTTTTCAATGTGTTTTATATACAGTGCATTACAATTAGAACAAGCCTCTCTGAATAAGTCAGTGGATATTGGGACTATTAAAAATACAGTATCCTGTTAACTATGGTTTTCAAGGAGACACATTTCTACCTCAAAATCAACTCCTTGTCAGTCATCAAATCTCCATAACAACCCACATGTGAAGAATTCCAAATGCGAGTTGATACATCATAGGAAAGATTATTCAATTCTGTATCCGACTTAACATAACAACGATGAGCACATAATGCACAAGATACAAGCTACAAGGTATTCGTTATACTCTCGAGAACCTGTAGAATCCAACTAATCAGCTGTAGCCGAAAATGCATTTGAAGAGAGCACTCACAATATTTCGTTCGACAAAACACAAATACTGAAAGTACTACGCAATACTATATAGAGAGGCAATAGAAATTCAGAGGAAATTGGACAGAGGAAATTAACATAAATAAAATCTAGCTACCAGTCCTCAATTCAATAATTACATACAACATGGCTGTTCAGGAATAGCATAAATGTTGCAGTGCTCAGCCACGTTGTTCCTATGCAAAATACGCAGTCTTTCACTGAAGAGTGAGTCTAACAAACTTTTTCAGAATTCCTTATCGACAAAAATTACATCATTTTATAATGATAATGATGCACGAAGATGATTCCGACAGAAAAGTTGCATCAACATAAATCCAGCTTTGTTTCACACCACATACTTGTAGGATGAATGTACATTTTATCTGAATGGGCCAGTGAATCGTCAGTATTGTGATTCAAATCCCTATATGGCACGTTAAATTCATACCCTGTATCTCCAAAAACTGAATGTCAGCGCAGGAATTTTGGAGAATCATTTTGAAGGACCATTTTTTTTGGAAGCAAACCTATAAGGTGAAGGATATTTCAATTTGCTGATTGATCAAGTTTTGTTAGACATCAAAACGTTATCCACAGATGCTTCATTGCGAGACTGTGCAATTTTTCCACAAGATGGATTGAGCAGTACTAGTGCGACAGTTCTTCGTTGTTACCCTTTCGGGTCGATGGATTGAAAGAAGAGGCTCTACAGAATAGCCACCCAGATCCTCAGATTTGACTCCTCTGGACTTTTCAATATGGAGATGGTTCCAATCAGATTCCTACAAGACTTATTCAGGGTGACTCTTTCTTCATTCAATAGTAACACACCATCATACTGAAAAATCGATTTTGCGTAATAATACAGGGGAAATAAGTATAAAATCACTTTGTTTCAGTTTTCATTGGAAATTATGTCAGTAAATTACGACTAGCCACCGGAAAGAAAACTGATGAACGGTTGCAGGTGATTCAAGAAATTCTTTCCACAATACGAATAATCAAAATGTACAATTGGGAAGAACATTTCACTGAGAAGATAAACGATGCCAGATTGTGAGTGTATCCATCAGAACTATTTTCAGTTGGTTATAGTATTCTGAACACCTCGTACTGTTTATTTGAAAAACTTTCTAGTTGAGAGTAATTCTTCTGTCATTCTAAAAATCATAGAAAAAATTCAATAACATATTTAGTTACTTATAATGCACTGTTTGAAACCTTCGGTGTAGTAATGAATATTACCGGAGTTTTTCCCAACAACAAATCGTCATTTTTAACACCTCGACACGTGTTTCGATCACCAATTGATCATCTTCAAGAGAAAGATTGAACTGAAAACTTCGCGAAGCTAACGCTATTTATGCTATACAGATATACCATACAGGTATACCACACATAAATAGCGTTAGCTTCGCCTAAGTTTCGACTTCTGAGGGTTGTCGTTCGTAAGGGTGCGACATCTGGTTAACAGGACAACACATTTTACAAAGATTTTTTTATTTAATCTTTCTCTAGAAGATGATCACTTGGTAATCGAAACACGTGTCGAAGTAATATTCAACCCTGTTAGTTAGTCATTAAAAAACTTGACTACTGTTGACCACTGCCAACATTTTGACAACATTTTGAGCAAAAAATTGCCGAACACGCGAAATTTGAACATTCACCGTATTTTCGGAACAGACCTTGCACTTCCTGAAATTTTTCGACTGAGCAACATAATTCCTACATGTCTATCCCAAGTGCCTAATACAATCATCAATTTTCAGGAAGGAAATCAACAAAATGTTATTAGGAGTGTACCTCAAATTCATCATAGTTGTCCTTGGCGTACTATTTTCGAAACTGGGGTTCTACCTCCTCATCATGTCCTACATATGGATGGGCTACACAGCTGAGGCTGAACTAGTATTCTACGTGCTTACCATATTCAAAGACCTGAAGCATACTCTTGGGGTACTCATACCATTTGGAATTGGCAGAGGAGCGGACCTATACTCTGCCATCATCAGAATAAACAAAGTTATCCAATGTGAAGAACTCGACAAGAAAATCGGATCCGATGAGCCCACTTCGAAACCATTTGTGGAATTAACAGAGGCTACAGTTCGTATAAAGGAAACAACTATTCTGAAGGACATTTCATTCAGGACGACATCTGGATTAACTTTGGTGACGGGTACTGTGGGTTCCGGCAAGACGTCTTTATTGAAATGCATTCTCCAAGAGTATACTTTATCTGAAGGATCCATTGAAACGGCTGGACGCATTTCCTACGCCTCTCAGGATCCTTGGCTGTTTCCATCTTCTATCAGACAAAATATTCTATTTGGAGAGAAATTCAATGAAAAAAGGTACTATATTGATTATCATTATTCCCCTTTTACTCTAGTATTCAGCTTGAAATGCGTATTCAACAGAGATGAAGCATCTGAGCAACAGTTCATTGAATTCAGAAAGATGTATTAAACTTTCTTCCAGTCTTTGGAAGTTATTTACATTTTTTGCAAAAAGATAGAGGAGCAGAAAACCAAAAAGGTTTTTCCATCAACTGAAAAAAATATTCCCATTTCAAATGTAAATATGAATTTTTTATATGGTTGAGAGAAAAAATAGCGTTCTGCTAAACACCGCCACGTAGACGAAAGATCAAGTGTTATTGTAATCATATTTTTTTCAACCGAAGCTTAGAATACTCGGGCCATCTCCCCGAAGCCCCGATACATTCGAAAGGTCGCGTCAGCATCAACAGTCAATGACCCCTCACCACATCGTGGATTGTGATCATTATTGGGTCCGAGAATCATGTGCAGTTGCAATGAGCCAAGAATGACAACTTTCTGCATTTATCAGGGCAAGATTTCTGACCCAGTGTGGCAAGCCATTATGACCATGAGATTCGAGAATAGAAAGCGCATCAATCCACCATCTCACTTCAGGAGTTGCTTCTCAGACTCTGGACCCGAAGGTGTGATTCAATTGGAAGACGTACCAGCATCACTAACCAACGACCACTTCTCATAATAATAGAATGAGTGATCATTGGGTTTGAAAATCGCGTACCCTGAGAAGACGTAGCGAACTAAGAATGACAGACTTCTACATTTGTCTGGCTGAGATTTCTGACGTCTTGAGGCAAGCCAGTACAACAGCGTTATTCCACCTAAACCTCTCATAATCAAAACAATCAAAGAGTGGTTTGGATTTTTCATACGCTTTTTCTCCTCCTTTGAACGATATTTGCTCTATCCGGAGCTCAAAACTTATTATCTTATGTCTGCCTGGAGGTGGGAAAAAGACAGTTTCAATAAATTCGGCACCTCTCATTCTCCACCAAAGGTAAAATATCTTCTTTGGCGTACGGCGTACCAGCGTCTCGTCTAGCGTAGGACCGCTTCAGATAGTAGTATAGCACCTGATGCTGCGTTGATGGATATGTTAATCAGCTGGTCGTCTCCTATAAACAATAACTTTCAAACGTCGAAACTTGTGCGAACTGAATATTATCGAGGTCTCACCCTTTAACATGCGATTCACGGCACGGGCCGTTTATGCCGAGCATGCTGATAGCAAATGCATGATAGCTTTCAATTCCTGACAATCAATTTTCAATATAGTAAGTAGCCTAGCATTCTAGGGATGTACTATCGCTAAACCACAATTGTAAGACAGACGTGATATTTTGGTAGGTTTGCAGGTTCTATAATGGAGTAGAAATTGTACCGCACATTTTGTGCCTTCATGAAAACCTCAAAGCTTTACTTAGAAGCCCAAAGTGAAGCTGAGAGATTCAGTAGTTTGATCAAATCAGGAGCACCACATTAGGAGAGTGAAGATGACTTTTCGCTTATTGAGGAGGCATTCGATAATATGTCCTTGGAATTAATAATTAGCTGTACCTCCAACAAAATATTGGAAACACATCTATAATGAAGAAAACAGTAATGATACAGGTTGCAGGGGGATGTTAAGAGAGAGAGAGAATTATTCTTATTGGAGTAAGCTTAGTCATTAACGAGTTACTCTGTCTCTTGAAGCATGATATACGTAATCTATTAGACTATTTAGAATACCCATTATCAGAGTTCAGAACAAGTATAATATTATTGTGAGGAGACACATGCAACACGCAATTGATATTCTGTATCTGAAGAGTAGGGAGGGTGAGTGTAAGCCCATAGCACTTAGGCCACATGTGACCTATTGTACATCCTCCCGAGGAGTTGTCCTCCTAGGTCATCGTCCATCCTGTCCTTTCCAGGAAGGTGGACAGGTCACTGGGATACATCTCCTTTATATCGGCAGGTGCAATCCAGGACTCGCCAAACAAACACTCTCTTATTGACGATAACTCCGGGCACTCGTATAGGACATGCCTGACAGTCTCATCTTTCTGTTCATACATCTTGCATAGAGGTGTGTCCACCAGCCCCATATTATGAATGTGTTTCCTTAGTTGACAGTGGCCAGTCAGAAATCCTACTGTTAGGCGTAGATTTTTCCTGGTCATCGCCAGATATTCCTTCGGCACCAGCTTCCTGGGGTCACCCAAGGTGACCTGGCAAGATTACATCCTTTGGTTTCGACCCATCTCTTCAAGGATTGAGCATGGGTGTAACATTTGACTAGTTCCGCAATTGTCGAAGTCATCAGGCCATAGGTGCCACTGGGTCCTAAAATTCTTAGTGCAGCCGCTTCCTTGGCTGAAGAATCGGCAATGCGATTACCTACACTCCTGTCGTACCCTTTAACCCACCTCAGGATAATGTTATTATCTACCGAGGCTTTGGCTAAATCTTGGTGACACTCTAGTACTAGCCCTGAGGTTATACGTTGTCTGTTCGAAGCTAATAGGGCTTGTTTGCTGTCAGTGTAGATTGTTATGTTTTTGCCAGAAATTCCTTTCTTGGTTAATTCTTTTGTGGCGATTGAGATACCAGCCAATTCTGTTTGGACCGCGCTGGTATTTCTTTCCATTCCCCACTCAATTCTTAGGCTTAGTGTATATATCCGTGTATAAATCCGTATTGCATTTGTATCATCTGACTCTATGTTCTGCTTAATTTGTATTTTGTAGGGTTTATTAAACACAAACCTGGGTTCAATTGCATCGCTTGTTGCCTGCAGCAGAAGTTGCGCAGTAAGAGCTTCCCGCCACAGGCAAGCCTCAATTGACCTATGCCTACTTCGAGGTTTACAGCAGTCATGCACAATCGTACCATGGCCATTAACGCAACCTCCTCAACGTACAGATCAAGAGGGGTCAAACCTGTGATTAATTCCATTACCGCGGTTGGTGTTGTTCTCATGGCTCCTGTGATGTTTAAACAAGTCATTCGCTGTATTTGGCATAATTTTTGGATGACCGTTGCTTGTAGAACTTCCGGTCCCCATGCAATGGCTCCATAAGTTAACATAGGTCTCATTATTGTAGTGTAGATTCAGGTGACCACACGGAGTGAAAGACCCCATGCGCGTCCCACTGTCTTCCGACATTGCTCATAAGCCACGTATGCCCTTTTTGCTCTACTCTGTAGATGAGAGTTCCATGTTAGCTTCCTGTCGAGGAAAGTACCAAGGTATTTTACCTGTTCAGAGTTCAAGTTTAGTTTGAAGATTTCGGGAAGTTTTAAGCCCGTTAAACTTCTTTTCCTGGTGGAAAGGACCATCTCAGTCTTCTTGGGATTGATCGACAGTGAGTGTTCCTTACACCATGTTACTATTAATTTAAGCCCATCCTGCGCTCTATCGCACAATGTGTTTACAAATTTGCCGATCTGCAAGATAACTATGTCATCTGCGTATGCAATTGTGTAGAATCCATTTTTGTTAAGGTGATTAATCAGGGTATTCAGAAATATGTTCCAGAGAAGGGGTGATAAGACCCCTCCCTGTGGACATCCCCTCGTGACCAGTCCTTTCACTGTGATGTCTTCTACATTAATACTTATTGCTCTACTAGAGAGCATCATGAGTATCCATTCTCCTACTACCAGAGGTACATTCCTGGAGTGTAGTTGCTGGGTAATTGTTGGAAAGGTTGTTTTATCAACGCACCCTCGATATCAATGAATATACCCAGGGTGGATTCTTTATTGTCCAATGATCTCTCGATTTTGCCAACCATATGGTGAAGGGCAGAATCAGTAGACCTTCCTGGAGTATATGCATGCTGATTTGGATGAGGTGGGTTGTGAACTAGTACTTCATCTCTCATGTACCGCTCACATAGCCTCTCCATGGTTTTTAAAAAAAACGATGTGAGACTAATTGGTCGAAATGCTTTTGGTAGGGTGTAGTCCATCCTACCTGGTTTGGGTATACATACTACTCTTACTTCTCTCCACTTACTAGGAACTCACTGGGAACGCAATTGATATTGTGATAAATCGAGAAATTATTGATTCATCTAGACCCCTTCAAATAGAATATATTACTATTTACCAAGATGGTGAATATAGGAACACTGGACAATATTTGAGGGTAAGAGATGCAACTGCTGGAAAAGATTGATTATCTGGCATTGATATTTATTTCATACCGACTAGGAAACAACATTTGAAAGGGATAAAAAAAGAAGAAGTAGCATTGATCCTGCTTGGATACATCTAAGACATGGGGCTAGACCCCATGATAACATATATGTTTTGTGATTTGGTTGAAAAAGATGTAACAATTTATGTCAAAGTGCAAAAAATTGCTTGTTTGGCAATGATGGAAACATTGAAAACCACACCAATAGCAGCATTGGAGACGCTTTTGAACTTCCTTTCACAAAATCTTGTAATAACGAAGAAAACAAGAGTAGTTCGACTCAGATTAACATGTTCAACATATTCTTTCTCGAATGTGAGGCACAGAAACAATACACTCAGTTAGAGACCTATATGAACTACTACAGGAAAGAAGTTCAAGACTCCAGTGTTTTTTGAAGACTTTGGGGCTCTCAAGTAACAAGAAAAGGTGGAGATGTCCTTGTTCAGAACTAATCAATACACAAAGAGTTGAAGATTTGAAGAATCAGATTTGAATAACTTTGCGGAGAGACTGGAAGAATCCAACCTCATACACAAGTCGATAAAAATAATCTCGGACAGTCAAGCGGCGTTGGAAGCTCTTGGCTCCTACCAAGCAACGTCTAAAGTGGTAGCAGATTGTCAAAACCGAGTTTTCTCGATTGGAAGAGTCAACAGATTGTCTCTGGTCTGGATTCCTGGCCATATTGGTCTGGAAGGCAATGAGGCTGCTGACTCCCTTGCAAAGGAGGGTGCTGCAAGCAGCTTCATCGGACCAGAACTTATCATTTGCATCGCTTTAGGTTTTGCCAAACAAAGATTGAACACCTGGATGTCAAGAAGATTTATGGACTTCTGGCAGAATCTTCCAGGACTGGCTCACTCCAAAGCGTTTATTCACCCTTCGAATCTTGATACCAAACAGTTGTTGGACTACACTAAAAATGAACTACGATATCTAATATGCCTTCTTACATGTCACTTGTCACATGTCACTGTCACATGTCACATGTCATTTGAATCATCATATGCAGAGACTCGGACTATCGAAAGATAGTGTGTGTCGTCTCTGTTTGGAAAATGATGAAACAGCAGAGCCCATACTTTGTGCCTGCCCCGTTGGGGACCGAATCAGGTTTTTAGAGTTCGGCAGACCAATACTCTCACCATCTGACCTGAAAGACCTCTCACCATACAAACTAATTGGCTTCGTAAGGAAGCTTGGTTTATTTGGACGAATGTGAATAGGTGTGAGCCACAATAAACCCTTGCGAGTTGCGGTGGAAGGTCGAATAAACCCACTCACTTTGGACCTAACCTAACTTAACATAACTTTGATAATTCAGGGGGGTATTCATTGGTCCATTTAATGCCTATTCTATAAAAATCACGTCAAAAACTGACGAAGCCTTCTTCTCGAACACACTGTATTTTTCCAATGCACAGTAAAGTGATCCCTTGAATCTCTACTATTATAAATTGATATTCTTACGAATTATCAACTGAAAATAATGTTTTCTGTTATATTTATTTCATTCCGATTTCAGGTATGCGGAAGTAGTACGAGTTTGTGCGTTGGAATATGATTTCAGTTTATTCGATAAAGGAGACGAAACCATCATTACAGACAAGGGTGCCAATTTGAGCAGAGGTCAGCAAGCCAGGGTGAATTTAGCCCGAGCAATATACAAAGAAAGCGAAATTTACCTCCTGGACGATTCCTTAACAGCTTTGGATACACACGTACAGGACTACATCTTCAACGAATGCATCAAAAATCATTTGAAAAACAAAATTTGCATTCTAGTTACTCAGACCGCTAGTCATATAGAAGAAGCTGATAATATCGTTATCATGGCCGATGCTCAAATCAAATATCAAGGCAGACCGAACAAGAACGTTTTGGAAAAAATCAGTGAGCTCATCATCGAAGATGACGACTTGGAAAAAGAAGTTATCCAGGAAAATCACCAACTGCAAAACGGACATGCCCTAGAAACTGAACAGCAAATGACGAAGAAACAGATATACAGTGAAGTAAATATCAAAGGAGAAGTCGACTTCGCTGTCTATAAAAAATATTTCATTTTTGGTGGAGGGTTTTTGCTCATGTTCTGCAATATATTTTTATTCGGAATTGCGCAGGGCACTGAATCGTATTCTGACAAGTTACTCACTCAATGGTAAGTTACCAAACTTGTTGATATCACTCAGAATCCTTCATTCCTTAGATATCCATAGAATCCACGATGACTTCCCAAGTGATCAGGTTTTCATCAATAATTACGACCACATCACTAACTACAAAAGGCTTATCATCTTCTATTGATCACAGTTGATATTCTTCAACATCATTCATTCCTTAGAATCCTTCGACATTCATAAAATCCACGATGACTTCCCAAGTGATCAGGTTTTCATCAATAATTACGACTACATCACTAGGTTAGGTTATGTTAAGTTAGTGAATATCACTGGAGTTTTTTCCAACACCAAATCGTTATTTCTAACACCTCAACACGTGTTTCGATCACCAAGTAATCATCTTCAAGAGGAAGATAAAACTGGAAACTTCGCGAAACTGAAGCTATTTATGCTATACAGTTTCATCTTCCTCTTGAAAATGGTCGCTTGGTGATCGAAACACGTGTCGAGGTGTTGAAAATAACGATTTGGTGTTGGGTAAAATCTCCAGTAATATTCATTACTACACCAAAGGTTCCAAACAGTACATCATAAGTAGGTTAGGTTAGGTCTACAGTAATTGGGTCTATTCGACCTCCACGGTACGGCTCTACCGAACACTAAAAAACTGTCTTCCAACAGGTCGAGTCTCTGCATATGATGATTCAAATGACAGTGATCGTGAGGAGGACTGTTAGACATCGTATTTCATCCCTACTGTAGTCAAACAACTGTTTGGTATCATGCTCCGCAGAGTGAGCCAATCCTGGAAGATTCTGCCAGAAGTCCATAAATCTTTTTGCTATCCAGGTGTTCAATGTTTGTTTGCCAAAGCCCAAAGCGATGCCAATGATGAAGCTACTTGCAGCACCCTCCTTTGCAAGGGAGTCAGCAGCCTCATTGCCATCCAGGCTAGTATGGCCAGGAATCCAGACCAGAGACAATCTATTAAGTCTTCCAATCGAGGAGAGTCGTTTTTGGTAATTTGTGTATGAGGTTGGATTCTTCCAATCTCTCCGCACACAATTCAATACCATAAATTTCCGTTTGAAATACAGTCGCATAGGTTCCTAGGCAGGTTGATATCTCTATCCTGGGTCTGCGACTGAAAACACCTGCACCAGAACCGGAAGGTGTTTTTAATCCATCTGTGAACGAACAACTATCTGCTCCTGATATTTCCTTCTCCCGGAGAATCTAGTCCTCTCTACTCGGGAACAACACTTTATAAGGCAGTTCGTAGTTGACAGTTGGAGGAATAACGTCCAAGGTCATTTCCAGAATGCTGTGACTTCCAGTGTCAACCAACAGTCTATTGCACTCTGCAATAAATTGATTTGTGCAGTTGGCAATGTGCACAAGTCTATATGCAGGCCATCTAGCCTCTCTCTCCATGGCCGCTGACGGTGTGGTACCGATGGTACCACACATTCATAAAATCCACGATGACTTCCCAAGTGATCAGGTTTTCATCAATAATTACGACTACATTACTAACTACAAAAGGCTTACTATCTCATATTAATATCTTTCGCTTCCATAGAGAGAATAAAAAATACCCCTTTTACTTTTTAGGCTTATGTTTTATATACTTTCTGGTGGTGATGTAACTGAAAGATATTTTGGGGTTAGTTATTGTGGACCATATTGATCTGCTGGAAAATTAGTTTAAAGTATGCTACTAAACTACATATTCTTCTGCGAACAAAGTTGCAAATGTTTACTTACGATATTTTTCCATCAAATAGGTTTTTAAAAATTTACCGAACCTATTAGCTGATGTGTAGGCTATCAAGTGGGGTGAAGTGCCTCTCTATTTCCCTCTTTGATATTTTTCTGGTCAAGATTTTGCGATGTAGTCCACAACTGTCTTTGAACATAAGTACAGCTTGGCAAATCTAGCAGTGCCTCTGAATATAGAATGCCCAGTAGATCGGCTGGAGGAGTGAAGCGAAGCTCATCAATATCGAGGAACTCGGGTAGCGAACATCATGTTAGTACATTAAGTGGATAAATGATTTTGTGTGGTGAACTGTGAGTTATTTCTTGTCTTTGAAAATGTCTCTGGACAGTAAACTAAAAAACAAGGTTCACCACTTTCATTCGTAACTATGGTTACTGCAGTTTTATCCTATATTCATTTTTCATGAACAGTATTTATACAGTATGTCCCAATTGAAACAAATCACCATCAATAAGCTATTTGATATTGAGACTAAGAAAATCGTGAAACACGACTACCTCAGTTTTCAAGGGGTCTTTCCTAATGAAAAGAATGAAAAAATATGTTGTACTTCATTGATTGTGTGGACAGATGAACTGTAGTAGCAAGAATACCTCTAATTTATCTCTAAATACCAACTTTTCTTCCACTGGGATTGTTTATATTCAATTCTCGCATTTCGCAATAATATGTTGAAATTCTAGAAAGTCTAGTATTTTACAATTGTTCCTATTGTTTCCTTTGGGGATATCAAAGAACATTACCCAGAAGTAATTTCTGTTGCTGGAATGTTTGTTTGTTGATACTTCAATTTATTTTTAATATTATAGGGTCGATGAACAACAAACAGTACTGGATTTGCGAAGAAATTTTACCGAAAATGGTCTAGCATTTGCAGATAATGATTTCAATAACACAACAAACATCTCCATAATCCTTGAAGAATCCGTCTCTGCAGAGCAACACACCATCAAATTATACTCCATCATGATCGTCGTCTCCACAGTCTTTGCTTTGATCAAAACCTACGCTATATTCGACTTCTGCAGACGAGCATCGATCAACATCCACAAAGCCATGGTTCGTAGTATAATATTCGCCGTTATGTCTTTTTTCGACACCCACTTCATAGGAAACATCCTCAACAGGTTTTCCCAGGACTTGTTGAATATAGACGAGCATTTGTTACACATTCTCAGTGAGTGCGTGAAGGTGGGTAAGGATCTCGAAAAAGCGTGTGATCAAAGTATGAGTACGTTTTTTCCAGGTGACATTCTCCGTTATTGGTATCGTGGTTCTCATAACGATAATCAACAAGTATTTCTTGATATTCTCTCTAATATTCTTGCTTATCTTGATATTCTTGAGAAAACTTTATTTACCAACCGGTAGGAGTTTGAAAAGACTGGAAGCAGCAAGTGAGTCGTTGATTATTTCGTTACTCAAAGAAAGTAGACTTTCACAGCCATAGACAACTGTGTAAGAGCTATTTTTTGGGTTTTTGGCCGTGGTCTGCAGGTTTTTATGCCTCAATCAGGAGTGATTGAAACGTTGATTCAGAGAGCACGACTCACCTGTGGGTCTTCCTGAGGAGCTCAATCACCTAAAAAATACCTTCCAAGGGAATGGGTACAGCGAAGAAAAATTCGAGTGAGCTATATGACCCAGTAACCCCAGCTAGGCTGGTCAATTGAAAGGAATCCCTTCTCTATGTTGAAAATGTTACAGACTGGGTTGGGATAATCTTGGAGGAACACACGAGGTGAAACCTATATTTAGGCAAACAAAAACTATCAGACAAAATCTAAGACTGCTAAGGATCCCGGAGAACCTTCAGCAACTCCCGGAGTTGCTCGTAGCTGCAGGTCGGTTTACATTGGAACCACGAAAAGAAGTATAGGTACTCGTCTCTCTGAACACAAGAGAAACAGTCGACTTGGACAAACCAACAAATCAGCTGTAGCCAAACATGGTCTCAACAAAGAAGTAAAAGCACCTAGAGGCTGACTGATGTCAATCTTGCCATCAGTAAGTTGAGGATCGCTCCGGAAGAGCGGGTCTGGATGGATGAGATGGCATGTTCTGCACACATTAACCGTGTGGAGAAGATTTCAACTTTCAACTCAGGGCACTCAACCCGAGAGGGGACATGAGGGGGAGCATGGAAGACGAAACGTTAGGCATGAAACCTGCAGACCACTGAAAATAGCTTTCACACATTTTATTTATTGTTCGATTCAATTTTTTTTCAGCTCGAAGCCCAATGATTGGACATTTGAACGCTTCTCTTGAAGGGTTGACCACCATAAGAGCATACAAAGCCCAGAATATACTGATAGAAGAATTTGATAGATACCAAGATGTGTATACCTCTGCTCATTATACGTCGATGTGTTCGATGAGAGCGTTTGGTTTCGTTATGGATTTCCTGTGCTCAATTTTCATTATTTTGGTGGTTTCCAGATTCCTGTTCATCGATACAGGTATGGAAATGATAATGAGAACGCTTAGATTTAAGTTGATATGAGAGTAATCATGTCTCATTCCCAGTGATACTCAAATTATTTGAGAGACATTTCCGAAATTTATTAATGAAAAGATTTGTGACGCACTGTTTGGAACCTTTGGTGTAGTAATGAATATTACTGGAGTTTTTTCCCAACACCAAACCGTTATTTCAACACCTCGACACGTGTTTCGATCACACAGTGATCATCTCCAAGAGGAATATCAAACTGCTGATCTTCTTCTTGAAGATGATCACTTGGTAATCGAAACACGTGTCGAGTTGTTGAAATAACGGTTTGGTGTTGGGAAAAAACTCCAGTAATATTCTTTAATGAAAAGATTGATATCAATTTGTTTTTGAAATCATTCAATACACTCCAATGAAGAACTGAAATATAAAAAATACAAAGAAACATTCACATCCATTATAACGAATTCAAAGAATATTTTGATGTGAGATTTTCACATGACACCATACAAAACCGCGACATGTATTCTTCTATAATATAATAACATCTTCAGGCGTCACAATACACACAATACATACAATGTTTGTGTGTATTGTGACACCTCAAGACGCTAGTATATATCGAAACGGATGTCGCAGTTTTGTGAACTGTCAAGTGAAAATCTCATACTGGAATGTTTTTATGGATATGAAATTGTGTGTCACTCATAAATTGGTTTTTATGATTATTACCACGGAATTACACAGTAGTGTAATAGCAATATTTTCTAGGTATTTATTTTTAGTTTCTATCAGTATAATCCTCAGTCTTTTTTGAGAAACTGGCCACCTAATAGTCTTTGAAAATCAAAATTTTTGGTGGCACTAAGCCTGTCTTACAAGAAAGGGGTTTATCCTTCTTGTTGGAAGATTGCTTGCGTTCAGCCTATTTCCAAAAAGGGCAAGCAAAATCTTCCAAATAACTATAGATCAGTCGTTTTGCTATCAGTGATATCAAAAATCATTGAAAAAGCTGTAAACCACCATATTCTCAAATATCTGGAAGGCTTCAACATCTTGAGCGATCATCAATATGGCTTTCGGAAACAAAGTACAACAGGCGACCTTCTATCGAATGTCACCCATATTTGGAGAGAGGCAATTGAGACACATGGAGAATCAAGAGCTGTTGCGCTTGATATTTCTAAGGCCTTTGACCGTGTGTGGCTTGAGGGTCCGCTGGCCAAACTTCGATGCTATGGCTTGTTGGATCATTTCTGTGTATGGCTCTCCAGCTTCCTGAAAGAACGTTGACTGCAAGTGGCCGATGGATATCTCTCGAATACTTTCATCATCAACGCTGGTGTTCGTCAGGGATCCATATTGTCTTCAACCTTTTCTTTATTGCATATCAACGACTCATTGGAAAAAACCAAGAATCCAATATATTGCTTTGATGACGACAGCACACTTGTCTCGTCATTCCATTTGGACTCCAGGACAACGGCTACGGAGGCACATCTTCACCGGCAGCAGGAGGTTGCATATCTTAATGAGGATCTGGATGTGATGTCAAATTGAAGTGAAAGTAACCAGGTTCACAAAAATCCAGGCATCAGTTTTCTCCAAGAAGATAAATGTCCCTGAACCGGATATAATAATGTCAGGTCAGACAATTCCGCTTTCTGCTTCGATAAGTTTGTTGGGGGTTGAAATGGACACCAATATGTCTAGGCACAATCATATCGTGTTCAAGTGACATGGCATATTTAATTCCACCAAGAGCGGTACATATAAGCGACGGACTGTGGCTGCTCATCGTTTTGGGGTTCAACGCAGTTCACCTCGAACTTCACTGTTTAAGAACTCTTCCATCTGGAGAGCGTTCATGTGGAATAAACTTCCTGTGAACGTTTAACCAAATGGATTTAATCTCCACGATTCAAGTCCAATGTGAATCGCTACTTTCGCACAGGCACCGCTCTGAGATCGCCTTGAGGATTTTCCTGTAGTGCTTGTGTTTTGTCCTTAAAAGAAGCCATGATATTATAAAAAAGCCTGATTGATTCAATGAGCATGACATTCATAAACAATTTCTAGTGCCTGAGAAACTCTGTTGAAAATTCATTGTACAGGTATTAGAGAAATGTACTCCTGTATTCAGTGTACAGAACAAGTTCAATGTTGTTGACAGATTTGTGTCATCTGTCATACAAGAGAAAACTGTTTGAAGTATTCAGAGATTTCCATATTCTACTCAGTCTTTTTTTTATGATGTATTTTATTCAAGATTCAAGAATTGCATGTACAAAAAAAATATTACAATGTTTTTTTAAATTTTAAAAAATGGAATTTTGGTCTGTAGCACCTACACCAAAAACCCTGTATATTTGAAAATTATATAAAAATATAGCTCTCATGAACTCCTAAAACTTTTGTATGAAACATTTTTGTGTATCTCCTTCAACAAACCAGATATTGCCTGTCACATAAAATGTGGATCACCCGGTATATAGGACAACCAATGAACAAATTTTCACAAGCTATTCTACTTACATGATTTCTACATTCAGTCTTTTTTGCAGATTCCAGCGCTGGTGACGTTGGTTTGGTATTATCGCAGATCTTCATGTTAGCCGGCACGGTACAATGGGGTGTTCGAACTTGGGCCTATCTTGAAAACCTAATGACCTCCGTGGAAAGAGTCTTAGAATACACGGAAATCCCATCAGAGAATTTAGATGGCCCAGAAGTCAAAAACTGGCCTAGTAAAGGGGCTATAAGTTACCGAAACGTATCGCTCACTTATAACAATGTAGAAACTGTATTGAAGAATTTGAACTTTGAAGTGGAACCCCAACAAAAAATCGGCATTGTCGGTAGAACAGGTGCAGGAAAATCTTCCATCATCTCATCAATTTTCCGCCTATATGATGTCAAGGGTGATATAGTGGTGGACAACGTGAACATCACCACCTTATCCATAAAGTTCCTGAGGCGTAAGCTAGCCATTATCCCTCAAGAACCAGTTTTATTTTCTGGTACAGTCCGTTCCAATCTCGATCCGTACCAAGAATTTGAAGACACCGATTTATGGAACGTTCTCGAACAAGTGAACATCAAAGACTACATCCCGAGCTTGAATCTAATAGTTTCAAGTAGTGGTTCAGGCTTCAGTTCTGGCCAGAAGCAACTCATTTGTTTAGCCAGAGCAATCTTACGCAAATCCAAAGTAGTAATTCTGGATGAAGCCTCTGCTAATATGGACCCAGAGACGGATGCTTTATTGCACGAGACCATAAGGAAAAATTTCAGCGGGTGTACGGTAATATCCATCGCACACAGGCTCCATTCTGTTCTGGAGTGCGATAAGGTCATGGTTTTGAATAGAGGAGAAATAAACGAATTTGATGATCCTATCAGACTATTGCAAAACAAAGAGGGAATGTTTTATAAGATGGTGAGTCAAGCTGGCTTGCTCGCTAAACAAAAACAGTAATTATTTTTCCTACTTTGCATTGTGAGAATAAATTATTTTGACACAGTATTGTTTTTTATTCAAACAAGTGAAATAAGACAACCATAGTTTCCAAAAGAGGTGAGTAATGACAAATTTTATAACAGCAAATGAGAGTGAGGCAAGAGAAGATGGTGAAGAAAATCTTCCAGGAACATCCTCTATCATTTATTAATATACAAAAAACCTTCAACCCTGTTACTATGTTTCTAAAGTCAAATTATGTTTGGCCGCTGAACTGCACAAAAACTATTATTCTCTCTTCAGAATCTTCTGGAAACGTACGTGGTAATCTCAGGGTGTTATTGAATTTCCTCCCATCTTTCCATGACACCTTTTTCAATATTTTTGTTTGCTGTACTAATTTGAACAAGTTCTTTGTTGGATTGTGGCCAAATTAAGTTAGTTTCAGCCGGCCGGGGATTTCAGTGTCACTATATGTATTGGGCCGTCGAGTTTTGGAATTTCACCCTGATGTTTCTCTGTCGCGAGTAGCTAGCTTCTTCAGATGTTCATTCATCTTGAATATATCTCCGATAACTGGGTATTACGACTGCTTAAAGCATATATACGTTGATTCAGATAATTAGGTGTGTTACTTACTGTCCTGGGCTAGGTAAATTGTCAATAACATTCGTTTACCCTTTTCTTCCTGAGTCATGATGTTTGTTGTTCTTGAACTTCTCAGAATGGGATTGCATATTCGGTTGAAGTCACAGCTTTTTCTTTTCTGTTGAAATTATCTGCATGTTTGTGGATCTCAGGTGCATGGTATGTGCATCCCTTTTGTCTTTAGCCGACCTGGGGCTTTGTTGTTACTTCGTGGTGGATTTGAAAACCGTTTTAATGTTGTTTTACTCCAAGAGTTTTCCAATTCCGGCTGTGGCCCTGAGGATATATGGTAGATACCCACATGCAACCATCTGAGCCTCCTCTGCGTTTCCAACCCTGGAAATCTTCAGCTTCATGACCTTCTTGATCTGGGATACAGTGTATCCATTCGATCTCAACTTGATGATGTTTCAGTTCCTCCTCTAGATGCTCTGGTTCATATATTTTTCGAGCCTGTTCAGTTTGAGTAGAGATGACAATTTCCCTAATCGAGGTACAGTAATTGGCACACCAAACTACCTGAATCAACATGAACATGCTTTATGCAGTTGGAACACCCAGTCAACGGAATTAAACTCAAGTTGTATGAACCTCAAACTCGCCTGTCGCAATGAAGTGCCTCTCATTATAAGACATAACAAATCCCTATTGTTTTTTGAGATAGGACTTGTAGATAGACTTGTATTTATTGTGAACCGTTTTCTGTTCTGTTTAAGCTCCTCACCGATTCAGTCTCAGACGGTTCTACCAATGCTTCTGGTACTTCCGCTGCTGGTTCCAAGTACTTGGTGTACTTCGAAGTCATGTGGTCATTAAACGTATTCAGTCGCCTCAAGAAATACGTGAAACAGGCAATAATCGAAAGTGTCCAGAAACAGTAACAATTTTTCTTCAGAATTCTGTTTCTTCATCATATTTGAAATCAGAATGAATATCATTATTTGAACAATATGCTTAATATTCATTAGAAAAATACAGTTTTGTATATTTTCATTGCAAAAATCAAATATTTAGATAGACACTGTGATACTAACGTTGAAGTTCAAATTGGAAGGGTTATTTGGGAGTTTCTAGCTTTCTACTTTTCCACATTTTTAGAAAGTAACGTGGGAAACTTTTTAAGAAAGCATTTTTTTTCAAGATAAATTGTTTACAAAGATGTTTTTTCCCAACACTAAACAGTTAGAAGAAGATCAAACTGTTTGATCTTCCTATTGAAGATGATCACTTGGTGATCGAAACACGTGCAGAGCTGTGACAAAATAATAGTTTGGTGTCCGGAAAAAAGTCCAGTATGATTCAGAATGTATGATAAAGATTGATATTTCTTTTGCACTATTGACTCAAATATGATTGAAAGTTTACATAAAGCTTCGATGACTCAGTGATCTGTCAGTTGAATGTCATGTGATTGAGCAGATGACGCTGGGATAAGGTAATGAGAAAAAATTGAAATTATTTTTTTCTTCAATACCATATGAGAATATACCTCCTTTAATGCTACAGTGTGAATATGAATTAAAAAATATCTGCTAACTGGTCATACAAATGGTTAAAGTTGTAATGGAAAAGCAGTTTTTCGTTAATCACTGAGAAGATATATCGTCGTTTTCATCGACCTACTTCAGGTATTTTCACTTTCTACAACCTGAAAAATATGAAAATTGCAATGGTGAATTTCATACAGGTTGAGGAAAGTGAAAAAATTACAAAAAAGGCGATAGAAAATTCATTTTCCTCAACAAAAATTTCTTTCGTACAATATATTGTCGGTTATTATCAACTTTGTGATCTCGTGAGTTTTTACTGTATCGTGTCTAGTGTTTGAGGGAAAAGTAAGAAGTTATCTGTACGCCCATGAGCCATGAAACAGTAATATAAACATACCTCTACGGCAATTACATGAAAGCTAAAAGTGAAGCTGGAAAACCCCCACGCCAAAGCGAATCTCCTAGATCTTTCAGGTTTTTGCAAAAAGTACTCTTTTTGTGTTGCGATGACTCTGATTGTTTGTCGGATAGATGGATGATTGAGTACTTCTAGTAGTACTTGTTCACAAAAATTTTTGTTCATAGGATGAAAAAGCAGCAGAGATCATTAAATTTTTATTTTTATCTGGGTAGATGTCACATTTGCTGTAAAATCATTTAAGGGGTTATATACTACCTCTTCAAATAAATATGAACAACGCTATTGCTTTCTGCTATTGCTATTGGCAATACTGCAAAAGCAAATAGAATTTACCAAAAACAAAATCAACAGCCAGATTCTATCAAAAAAAACATTCATGCATGCTAGACTTTCCAAAACTGGATTTTCAACTGTACATGCTGAAAGTTCTGGGCAGACTGAAAACAATCACAACACAGAAGAGGCAGTTATTTAAGAAGCTGAAAACGATCCTTCCACTCAAAAATTATCTCTATCTACAATGAGTCCATGAACTGGTTTCAAGCGCTGAAACTAAGTGATTGGATTTTTGTCAGACTATTGCAAACAATCTCAACTTCACGTCTGATGTTTTGTTCACGTTAGAAACTTCTTCAGTAATGACTTTTGAGCTCATGAGAAGCTTCATGCTATTATAGAAATTGGAGAAGCAAAGAAAAGGGAAGTTTTTTTAGATAATTGTTTCGTGGCATTTTCTTTCTCAAAAACTAAGCGTGATACAACAAATATTCACCAAACCAGGAAGTTTTAATCATACGATTGTTCAATCCAATTGATATCCAATTCGAATAAAACTAGTGGTAGACAATGATTTCCACATAAATATCATCCCTTAAAATGATACGGCTATACAACATACTACCTGCTGATATAATATCTACCAAACTATGCATAGACTAGCAAAAATCCTGCCTAATAGGAAATTGCTTCTATAACCTTGAAGACAAATCTATTCATTGTGGCTTTTGTGTATGTTTTGATGACACTCATCCACTTACCTTTAAAATGGCTTTTAATTGAAGAATAAATGAAATGGAGTGAAATGAAAATCTAATAACATCAAAAGAAACATTTACATAAACTACAACTTACAATTTGATATTCACAAACTTAAAGTTTCTGAAGATCAAAGGCGTATTTTATGTATCACTATGGATCTTCATTCAAAGTTTGATCAGAATCGGCAAAATATTTCCTGAACAATTGATGCAAAACTGTTTTTTCATTACAACTTTAATAATTATTCGAAACACGAAGCGATTTCGGACATATATTTCTTTCATAAAATATAACAAGGAATCACCCCCCAAATTCAAAATCATCACTTGAATAACACTATATAGTTTTACCAAAAAAGTACTTTTAGAAAACCATGCAATTCGCTTTCGTGAATTGAGAGTGTTTTCAAATTGGGCGCAGTATTTACATATTTACGCAGGTTAGTTTAGGTTAAGTTAGGTTATGTTAGTTACGCTACGCCCAACGATCAATACCGTATATTGCTAAGTAGACTGGTGTGATGACTGATATCTTGGACCTTCCGAATTACTTTTTAGTATTCAGTGCATTAACTACATATTTTTTTTTCAATACAACCGTATAACATAAAACGTTTCTTTTCACTCATTTTATATGCTCGTTGAAATCCCTGATCAACTCTTTCAGGAACATATGATTTGAAACGCATTTCTAGTACTAATTAATTCAACAAAACCGTTATTTTAACACCTCGACACGTGTTTCGATCACCAAGTGATCATCTTCAAGAGGAAGATGAAACTGTTTGATCTTCCTCTTGATGATGATTACTTGATGATCGAAACACGTGTCGAGGTGTTAAAATAACGTTTTGGTGTTGGGAAAAAACTCCAGAAATATTCCAAATCTTCCAAGGTTCATTTCCCCTACACGAAAAAGTAGATAAACATGTAATTTATTTTTCTTTAATCGAATATTGTCGGTAGCAATAAATATAAAAACGAAGGGTCACACATACGTTGTATCCACATTCCAGTCCAGTGCCACTAATCAGGTGGCCAAAATATCAAAAATATAGATAAAAGCATTCAGTTATTCTTCATATTAAGTTTCCAATATCGATGATCTCCGTTTCAGATATACTGGGGGTATATTCAGGAAAGCATATAAGAAAAACGACCTTGACGCTGAAGACATTTATGAAGTGTTGGAAAGGTGCAACTCGAAAAAATGTGGAGACAAACTGGAAAAACTGTGGATTTCTGGAGCGGCCAAAAACAAACCTCCTTCAATTTACGAACTTATCTGGCAAGGATACGGTAGAAAATATCTGCTCTGGGGATGCGCCGAAATGACTTGGGTGATTTTCAAAATGTACGTAGTCAAAGATGAATATTATTATCCAAGATTCATTCTGGTAGTTTGTATATAATCAACATATCTCTTATTGTTCAACCTATTCATTTATTATCTTAATAATCTGGCATTCTCAGATTTTCTGATCCCCTTTACTCGTTCCTAAATTACTAAATTTCTCCTCTGTTTTGACATTATTTCTGCTTCAACTAAGTCATTGGAATATTTGGTTCCCCTACATTTTAGTATCAATTATTGTAACATCAATAATTTTCATTTCATCCACTCAAAGATGTTAAATCTCATCACACATTCGTAACATGCACCACGAAACATCTCAACCGCTTTCCAAACACATTATATTATTAATTTCAGCATTATGGAGCCAGACTCCGTCAGTAAACTAGTTTCTTACTTCAACCCTGGCCAAACAGAACTAACTAAATTTGATGCCTACTACTATGCAGCTCTGATTTTGTTCCTAAATATAGCCAACTCAATTTTCTACCACAATTACGACCTGATTCTACTCCTGATTGGATTCGAGATGAAAGCAGCTTTCTCCTCTCTGCTATATCGAAAGTCTTTGAAACTGACTCCTGAGTCGTTAGCAGAAGTAACAGTGGGAAATCTCATGACACTGATCACGAAAGATGTTCACATGTTTGCCACGCAGATGCTGTTTGTCGTGAATGACATTCTTGTTGGTACTGTGCAAACTTGCATTGCTTGTTATCTGCTCTACTCTAAAATTGGGTACTTATCATTTATTGGAACTGGTGTTTTCCTCAGTGCTATACCATTACAAGGTATGTTGTATTTCTATATATGCTGTATGATGCTGTTGTTGTATAAACCAACAATCGACTGGACTTTGGAGGTTCATAATCTACTGTGAATAATATTGAATTTACTTAGGTAACTGAAAAGTTTAGACAAATTTTTTAAACGGTACCCAAAAGACATAATCTCAGACGTTAGATATGAAATATGACTGAATTGGAAAAGACTCTGGAAATAATTGTCATTCAAATCGAAAAATTATTATACACTAATCCACCCCACTCTCCCTGAAAGTATCCACCACATAGACAACTTCAACTTTTCAAGATTCTACGCCACTACCATTACACGAATGAAAATGAACCATGGTAAATTTCCTGTTCATTTGGCAAAAATAGGCTTTGATGTGAACCCCTTGTGCTCTTGTGGCAATTTTTCTTTAGCGGACATAAATCACCTCCTATTCAAATATCCCAACTTCGAAATGTACCGTCCTGATTTCCTGAATAATTTGCTTTCCTCGACCATTTCATTGCCAACCAATAAAACAGTCCTTTAAGGTATCTGTAGAGTAGGGAGGATGAGTGTAGGCCCACAGCACTTACGCCACGTGTGACCCATTGTACATCCTCTCAAGGAGTTGTCCTCCTAGGTCATCATCCATCCTGTTCTTCCCAGGAAGGTAGACAGGTCACTGGGAGATATCTCCTTTATATCGGCAGGTGTAGGCCAGGACTCGCCAAACACACACTCTCTTATTGACGATAACTCAGGGCACTCGTATAGGACATGCCTGACAGTCTCATCTTTCTGTTCACACATCCTGCATGAAGGTGTGTCCACTAGCCCCGTATCATGGAGGTATTTCCTTAGTTGACAGCGGCCAGTCAGAAATTCTACTGTTGAGCGTAGTTTTTCCCTGGTCATCGCAAGATATTTCTTCGGCGCCAGCTTCCCAGGATCGCCCAAGGTGATTACCGCAACCTCCTTAACGTACAGGTCCAGAGGGGTCAGATCCATTGCCATGGTTGGTGTTGTTCTCATGGCTCCTTTGATATTCAAACAAGCCAGTCTCTGTACTTGATATAATTTTTGGATGACCGTTGCTTGTAGAACTTTTGGTCCCCAAGCAATGGCTCCGTACGTTAACATAGGTATTATTACAGTGTAGATCCAGGTGACCACACGGGGTGATAGACCCCATGCGCGTCCCACTGCCCTCCGACATTGCTCATAAGCCACATATGTTCTTTTTGCACTACTATGTAGGTGACAGTTCCATGTTAGCTTCCTGTCGAGGATAGTACCAAGGTATTTCACTTCTTCAGAGAAGTTTACTTTGCTTCTGAAGATTTCGGTGAGTTTCAAGCCCGATAAACTTCTTTTCCTGGTGAAAAGGACCATCTCAGTTTTCTTTGGGATTTATCGACAGTGAGTGTTTCTTACGCCATGTGTCTATTAATTTGAGCCCATCCTGCGCTCTATCGCACAGTGTGTTCACAAATTTGCCGATCTACAAGATAACTATGTCATCTGCATATGCAATTGTGTAGAATCCATTATCGTTGAGGTGATTAATCAGGGTATCCAGAACTATGTTCCAGTGGAGGGGTGAACATACCTTTAAGATATATTCAATGAAAAATATACAATATAATTCTAACATTCATGATTGAATATAAAATCTAATATATAAAATTTCCGTGTCACAGTGTTAGTTGCCATACTCTTGGCCGATTTTCATGAAATTTTATAGTATATTCTGTAAATTAGAGAATGGGTTTCAATCTGTTTTTCATACCCCTATGTGATTAGGGTGTTCCACCCCCAACATTCTTTTGACAATTTATTTTTATTTTTTTATGATGTGGCATTAAAAAATACATACAACCCCCAATTTTCACTCTTCTGTCACCAACCCCTATGTTTTAATAGCCGTTTCAGTAATTCAATCATATATAAGTTATTCCTGCCAGGTGTCTAGCGGTGTCACTTCTCACTCAGTAAACAACAAGGAGTAGGGATGAGGACGATGCCGGTCTCTCTAACACAATGAGCCTTCTCTCACTGCCTACACAGTTTTCAGCCACTATTATTGTTCATCCATCAATCGTAGATATACTTTGCGATGCCACCGAAGTTGTGAAATATCCATCAGAGTTTCTCAACTCATCAGATTCGCCAGGCATGCCACCGCATAATTGGCAACTGAAGGTTGGATCTCTCCGTAACTTGAATCCACGACGGCTGTGCAACGGCACACCATTAGTCATTAAAAATAATTAAAAACTTTGTCGAAGCCAGCTTTTCAAATAGCAAGTTTGGAATTGAAAATATATTAATACCACCAATTATTGAGCCCCAAGACCAAACGACGTCCGTTTGCGACTTGGATTTAAACACACGTGGACAAATATACGTGGCATTAAGGGATCAATTGATATTATTTGCGAGTGTTATTGTTCTGATAGGAATAATGTATGCGGCAAAACAACGTTTGCCGGGTCAGCTAGTGTCAATATAAAATATAGTGACTCGATTTTTTTCAAAATTTCTGAGGCGGTTTGATGCCGAGGAAGGGAATTAATTTGAAGAAACGAGTACGTTTAGATGACCATGATTCACAAGTGAGTTTTAGTTTTCTATAACAGTATTCTAAGCATAATAATTAATGGGATATTTATTAAACGATCTCTTAAATACCTAGGAGTGAACCTAGATAGTCAAGACAACGAGAATGTACTATGTATCAGATGTATCAGAAATTTGCTCATTTCAGTATCAGATGTCTTCTCAATATTTTACTTTTTAGTATATATTGGAAAATATATCACTAAGCTGAGACTGGAAACTGGAGAAAAAACTGACGAAAGACTACAAGTAACTCAAGAAGTACTTTCTACCATAAAAACTATTAAAATGTATACGTGGGAACAATATTTCAAAGAGAAAATCAATCAAGCACGACGGTGAGTAGTAAATTTCTAAATTCTCTAGCGAATATTAGCGAATATCAGCGAATATTAGAAATAGAACATTCATAACCTACTTTTTTCAACTTCGAAGGATTTCTGTCACTGAATAGCACGTTTCCTGATTTTGCTCATCCTTGAAAACGTGAATCAATATAAATCATCTGAAGGAACAATTCGTTCAGGCCGGTCTTTACTTAGCTACACACTAGGTTGATGGACTGACACGTATCAGTCTTCAGCTATGCCCACTGACTATTATGTGAAATATATTGCAACAAATTAAAGATATAATTGTGTTAAACAAATTCATTCCCAACAATATTTCACTATCACGAACTAATTCATTTACAACATTTAGCACTAACTCTTAATTTATTTCCTCTATTTGAATTCCTTGTTCAACCGCTCGATTCACTTTCTGAACTCGACTGCCCTCTCTAGACAAGAAGCCGGCCTTATATATCGGTAACGTTCGTTCTAGAATTCTAAAGTCGTTTCGGTTCTCAACTAGAGTTTAATCGGCGGTTGCCGACTGCATTCCTTTTGCGGTGATGTCATGTGTTTGTTCGCTGGCCGATATATCGATCAGAGGCGGCTTCAGATTCATCACAATATTTCCTCATACGAGAATTTGGGCCATCCGGGTATACGGTAGGTTGGTACCTTGTCTACGGGCAGATGGGGCGATGACGGTTATGTTGCTTATCGTTCGCTTCAGTTTTGTTCAAGGAATGATACGATGATCAAAGAAAATCATCGACTTCGTGTTAATTGTGAACACTACCTTGCACTGATGAGAGGCCAAATATCCCAAAACTGGTCTACAAGTGTGCCCGTTCCAATAATTGTAAATCGATTTCGGCTGTAGCCTCGCCAAAAGCATATGCAGGATATTTTCTGTGGAGAATCCTGCACTGACACCTGTCGGAAATAGTTCACAACGCCCTTCGTAGAACTAGCCAGGGGAGTTGTTGTTTTCTGATAGATATCAGTACATTAATCTACTGTGTACGTCTGAGTTCCTCTGAACACTCTTCAAATAATCACCATATTTTTTTAAATAAACTTATCAACGTCAATGTTTGTTCCAGCAAGGAAATGAGAAAAACTCTACTAGGATTCTTTTTGAAATACCTTCTAATCGTTATTGGAATTCTGGTTTCCAAGCTTGGATTCTACCTGCTTCTGATGTCCTACATTTGGATGGGTTATCCAACTGACGCAACAATTGTTTTTTATATTCTGTCCAATTTCAACTCATTGAAACACTTTCTTGGGTATCTATTGCCGGTGAGTATTGGAGTCGTAGCACAGGCCATTTCGTCTTTAACCAGAATCGACAAAGTCATACAATTGGCAAAATATCCTGACAGAACTGTCACAGTCCAATCTTCAGCTTCAGTATCTCCGCTGGTAGAACTGAAGCAGGCATTTGTTAGAATTGGGCAGAAGGAAATTTTGAGCAATATCACCTTCAATGCTACATCAGGATTAACAGTTGTAACTGGAGCTCTTGGTTCTGGCAAGAGCTCCCTGCTTAAAGCCATTTTAAGAGATTACCCATTGACGAATGGCAAATTGTTCACCAGGGGTCTAATTTCCTATGCATCTCAGGATCCATGGCTATTTCCATCCACTATTAGGCAGAATATCATCTTTGGACAACAATTCAATAAGGACAGGTGAGTTGAGTGTTGGGGGTTATAAAACCAAAAGGGTTAACGTGTTTATAATGAGGTTGGTGAGGTTTCTTTTGGAATGCAACATATATAAATTACAGTTTTCGGTACCTTGCTACTTTATAAGTGAAGTTGAACTTTAGTTTTTCGCACGAATATTAAAAAAACTAACGTTAACTGATACATTGGAAAAATATTCTTCTCGTACCTGTTCTGTTATATTTATTTCAGATATCAAGACGTAATAAGAGTTTGCGCTTTGAGTTACGACTTCAGTTTATTCGACAAAGGAGATGAAACCATTGTTTGCGATAGAGGGATGAATCTGAGCAAAGGACAACAAGCAAGAGTCAACCTAGCCAGAGCGGTTTATAAAGACAGTGAGATTTATCTACTCGACGATTCTTTGTCAGCTCTAGACCCTCATGTGCGTGACTACATCTTCAAAGAATGCGTCGTGAAATATTTGAAAGATAAAACTTGCATCCTTGTTAGTCAGACAATTGACCATATACAAAGAAGTAATAATGTAATTGTTATGGAAAAGGGTTCGATAAAGGAAATCGCGAAAGACTGTGGAAATCGTATTCATGGAATACACAAAGCAGCTTCAAATATTGACTTGGAAAATGACTCTAACGATGATGATACAGATAGAAAGATTGTAGAAACAGATGTCACAAGGAGAGAAATCTATAGCGAATTCAAGAAGAAAGGAAAAGTAGATATCATGGTTTATAAGAAATATATTGTGTTTGGAGGAGGAGTTTTACTTCTATTATTGAATGTAATTTTAGTGGGATTAGCCCAAGGTTCAGAAAGTTATTCTGACAAATTACTCACTAAGTGGTAAGTGGTCATATGAGATCCATATTTCGATAGTTTTTGAGATATTTTAAATTATTTGTTTTCTCAAAAGGACATCATCTTTCATCTTTTTCCCCTTTCAATTTGAGCAAGATTCCTATGGCTGGGATTAAATCTATTACAAGTCAAAATATCTCAAATGCATATATATTACTCCAACTGATTTTATTTTTTGAAACTAGTCAACCTAACCTAACCTTACCCCCAACCCAGCCAAACTTAACCTAATCTTACATAACCTTGCCTATCCTAACCTAACCTAAGCTAACTCAACCAACGGATCATTTATTAAACTCATTGGGAATTCGAATATGTTTCACCCACTGCACTAATCTCTTGGAATTCATAGGGTTGACGAAAAACAACACGTCCTCGACATGAAAGCTGCACCATCACTAAACAATAATGCCACATTCAGTTTCATCGATTATATAAAAGAACTGAAGGATGCTGAATCACAAGAGCAAAGCACTTTCAATATCTATACTATCATGATGATTGCCTCAACGATACTGGCGCTTACAAAAACCTACGTCTTGTTGGATTTCTGCAGAAGAGCTTCTGTCAACATACATAAAGCGATGGTAGAAAATGTTGTTAGTGCACTGATGTCATTTTTCGATTCTCACTTCATTGGAAACATTCTCAATAGATTCTCTAGAGATCTACTCAATATTGACGAGCCACTACCATTTGCCTTAACTGGATGTTTCGCGGTAAGTATGAGTTGTTCTTGAATATTTGCTTCAATTGATATACGTTACAAAATATTAATCATTCTGCATCCTCGTGGAATATTCCGCCTAGAATGTTTGACAATAAATAACAAATTAGAATTTTTTCATACAAAATAAAATGCACCAAAGAACTGTTTAAGCAACAACTCTGAAATTTATGTGTTCATATATTGTTCATTGTCTACAGTCGAGTAGGGGCCATTTATTGTGAAGCAAACAGAGGTGGATTCATTCAGATATTTTCCAAGCTTCTGAAAACAAACGAGTACAACAACAATCAAGCCATGTGACCCTTCAAGCACTTCAGTTTGTGCATCCTGACTGTTACAGAATGGGCGAGTTTCCATCTACATACACGATCAGCAGTAGGGCAGTGAGTTTGCAGTCAAAGGCTCTGCTTATCCAAAGTAATTGCTGCTACATCAATTCGATTTTGCTAGCCCTAATTTTGCACCACTTCATAACTTGCTGAACAACCTGAGAAGAAACATCTCTCCGGAAAAGAGGAGGAAGTCCACCCCGGTTGTAGAACTGAAGACAGGAGAGTGGGTAAAAATTTCAAGAACCACCAAGCAGTAATTATCAACAACGGCACCCCATTCGGTCCGTCGTGGATTACTAAAATATTGCAAAGCATGTGGACAGACAGGGTCGTAGGTAGACAGTAAGATTCGGTAGAGTTTCTAGGTTTTCTTTTGAGTGGTCTAAATGATGGAATGGAGTTATGTATTTGTTCAAATGTTACACTGAAGCTGAAAAACCTCCTCTTGACTCCGCTACGCAGGGGGCAACTGAAGTCGAGCATACATCGTGCCGGAGACCCCATTACTGAGAATATCGGGACTTTCCTCACTCCGCCTCTCAACATTTAGGAAGTTGATACTGTCAAGGAAGCGCTTGAGGTATTCGTCTTCAAAAACAGATGATTTAGTCGAAAAATGATGGTCAGGTCAAAGCTTGGGAGAAAGTTATACTCTGCAAACATCCCGTCATTCTCATATTGCATTTGAAGTTTTCTGATTACATACCCACGATGGTTGCTCGAAGATTATCAAAGCTTTGGAATTTGAATTCGACTTGAAAATTGATTTGATACTTACTAGGCTCTAATATCCAGAAGAGAAGTAATGCAAGCTACTACGACGGCAAAATGGTCAACATGGGACTACGTAACCGATGCCTTCCACATCGGCTTCAACTGTTGGTTGAGGTACGACGATTCCTCGGTCAAGACCATGCAGAAAGAATAAGTGCTGAAGCCCCAGGAGGCGAGTTCCTAATTTGTTGTTCTACAGGCGCAGCAATCCGACCTAAATATCACCCTTATTTGATCATCTGGATTCGTTCAGAACTTCTTGGTCAAGTTTCTTACGATTTTTTTGTTTTAATAGATTTTCTTTTTTTAACGTTATATATTGGAGAAAAAATGAATTGATAAACCCTATGTTTGCAATTGAATTATGGACGAATAATAGAAATGTTAAAACATTAAAAAAACAAACTTCTGATAATGGAATATTGAAAATTTGATAGATTGAGATACTTGACGAAACTTACTAGGTTTTTGTTTTCAGAATATATTTTCCTTAATAGGAATCATGATTCTCATAGCAACAGTCAACTCAATTTTCCTTCTGTATGCATTTATTGTTTTTTGCTTGCTTCTGGTGACAGGCAAGTGTTACCTTCCAGCTGGTCGAAGTTTGAAGAGATTAGAGGCAATTAGTAAGTAATTTTGACATAATAAATAAAGAATATGTATGTATAAATATTATAAAATCAATTTCCCCACCGTATCTATCGATCTGAACCTGATAATGATGATTCTACCAAACGGATTATCATACGGTTTAAACCAATAGATGGAGTGAATCGAGAGGAAGTTTTCAGTTTATGATTAATTGATATTCTGTCTAGATTGATTGAAATATGACAACGTTATTTGTAAGGAAGTCGGGGCGGATATAGGTACTAACGTATTTCAAATTGAACCTGATGATCTCGAACATATCAAGTCGATTCACATTAATAATTTTGAAGGTGAGATTATAGAAATAATCGGGTTTGATATTATCTTTTTAATTTTATTTATGGTTCGATTGGTTTCTCTCTTGTGTTTTTCAGACATCAAGACTTGGAATCTGTTTGGAAAACAAACACTGGTTTTAAATCACATATCAGGTTGTTTTCAAAGTTTTGTCCTTTTATAAGAGTCTACTTTGAACTGTGACATCTCAGTGATAACTCATTTAATTCAATGGAAATAATCACTATTCGAATCAGTGTACTTTTGCCAACGTAACATAATTGGATTGATTCCGTCATCATGAAAATTGTGTGCTCAGGATTCGATGAAGTTGATGGACGCCGTTTTCTCCTGGTCCTCATTAGCGGAGGTTTCATCAGTGATAAAGACATTGAAGTGTCTGAAAAGTTGATAGTTTAATTTTCGGACAGTGATTTCGAAAACGTGCAGACAGGCGTTGCCGTAGAGCAAGGTCGGACCTATTCTGTTGACCAGTGCCGGGTGTGCTGACACATTTTTCGGTAACTTTCGTCAATTTTATCACAATAGGACTCTGCTGTAATGTTTTGGCCCGATTGTCGAACATTATATCAAATCTCACAAGCCGCTGACCACCATACAGTAACCATGGTCTTTCCTTGGTGGGTTTTTGCACGCGCGAAATGCTTGGGTAGCTTATCGATGACCAACCACTGTCATGAACTGTCATGAAAATCCACTTTCCATCACACGTGACGATTATATCCAAAAAATCGTTTTAGTTGCGCAAAAAAGAACAGACTTCGAAATAAATGAATTAGTTTTACATATATATTCACAGTAGCAATAATATATATATTACTCAACACCCACATCATACATAATAAAAATGATCTTATAAGTGATATTTCCAAGTTCCATCTTTCATCACATAAATCATTTCCACAGCTCGTAGTCCTATGATTGGTCATAGGACACACATCACCCACATCATACATAATAAAAATCATCTTATAAGTGATATTTCCAAGTTCCATCTTTCAACACATAAATCATTTCCACAGCTCGTAGTCCTATGATTGGTCATCTCAATTCAACCATAGAAGGTCTAACAACAATAAGATCGTATAGTGCTCAAGCCATTCTAACGGAGGAATTTGATAAACACCAAGATCTGCATACATCAGCACAATTAATGTCAATCTGTTCGATGAGAGGATTCACTTTCTTCATGGATGCACTGTGCTCTTTATTCACTGTTCTGGTAGTGATGAAGTTCATAATTTTTGATGAAGGTAAGACCATAGATTATGGTTACGTTGTTGATAATAACAATTGTACGGAAAATGATATGCGTATTAAAGATACGCATATCACGTAATGTTTTTTACTGTATGATAACTTCTTCAAACACACTGTATTATACCTGCCACAATGAACCAGAATAGCTTCTTCAGGTACTCATATGTACACCCGCCTTGTTCTTCTACTGATTTGAACTTCCCGCTGTACGCGCGGAAGCTTCTGATTGGCCGACTGGATGACGACAAAAGTGGGAGAGTGGGGTTTGTCTAAAGTAGCGACACTCCTACTTATATCTATGTGTACATCTGAAACTAGCTGCTTCTGGCATATCCAAAATGCCTGAAGAAACTAGCATAAATAATAATGATATTCATATTACGTATATAAGCATCCTGCACCAACAGGATGCCGGAGAGACTTACCTCGAGGTGGAACAATCCCGCTACCAAGAGGCAACAGCAGTCAAGAGCTCTCTTCGCGGCAAGTATCAGCAAAAACTCGAAGAGATCTGGTCAACAGAATTTTCAGGGAACTACAAAGTTGCTGCTACGAATGTGCTCGCTGATCCAGACCAGAAAAATGATGCACCTCTGGGCGAACGAGTTCAGTTCTCAGTTCTAATACTCTGAATCGACCATTTCTATTTCCTAGGTTCCTCTGAATCGAATATTCTGAAATCTATTTCATTTTCAGGTACAAGTGCTGGTAATGTAGGGCTTGCTCTCACCCAAATATTCACTTTGGGAGGTACCATTCAAGGTGGCGTAAGACAATGGACAGAGCTGGAAAATCTAATGACGTCAGCCGAACGGGTTCTTGAATACACTCAGATCAAAACAGAGCCACAGGGAGGAAGAACAATAAAGCAATGGCCAAAAAATGGGGCAGTAGAATTCGATAATGTTTCTCTGGCATATAACAGCAAGGAAATTGTTCTGAAGAACTTGACTTTTGACGTAGCACCTCTTCAAAAAATAGGAATAGTGGGAAGAACGGGTGCAGGGAAATCATCAATAGTATCAACGCTTTTCAGACTTTACGAAATCGACGGGAAAGTACTGATTGATGACGTTGATATAAATACGTTGTCTTTGAAATTTCTAAGAGGGAAAATAGGTATAATACCCCAAGATCCCATCCTATTTTCTGGAACTATCCGATCCAATCTAGATCCCTTTGGAGATTTCACCGACCGAGAATTGTGGAACGTTTTGATGAGAGTGGGTCTGGATATCTGTGCTAATTTAGACACACAAGTAGCAATTGACGGATCTACATTCAGTTCCGGACAGAAACAACTGATTTGCTTAGCTAGAGCAATGTTACGCAGCACCAGGATACTCATTCTTGATGAAGCGTCTGCTAATATTGATCGTGATACAGAAATTGTGCTAGAAAAGATCATAGAAGAGAACTTTTCGAAATGCACTATTTTCAAGATTGCTCACAGGATACCATCGATCCTAAGGTGTGATAAAGTTTTGGTGCTCGATGCAGGTGAATTGAAAGAGTTTGATAGTCCTCTGGCATTGCTGGAAAACAAAAACGGGTTATTTTATAACATGGTAAATCAAGCAGGTCTTTTGGATCATATTGCTTTATGATAGTCTCTAATAAAACCTTTTCAATAGAGGCAAACAATGCATTTCCTAAATTTTCTATTCAAGTAATATATGACCATTAAAAAGTTTCTAAATATTTTGAACGAAATAACTTTTTTTTCAAACCCAGTCATACCATTCCCTTCATTAATCCCTCGTTTCTTCAAGCACACATAATTTGTGTTTTCAATGACAAAACACAAGCACCACAGAAAAATCCTTGGGGCGCTCTAATAGCGGTGCCTGTGCGAAAGTTGCGATTCACGTCGAATTTAAATCGCTAGAGATTGAATTCATGAAGTTCGAGATGTACTGATTTGAACCTCAAAACAATGAGCTGACACAGTCCATCGCGTATTTCTGATATGTACCGTTCTTGGTGGAATCCCTTGGACGAGTCAGTTGAACACCTGCCGTGGAAATATTTATGAAAGACAGACAAATCTCTAACCATTTTTTAATGTTCCAGACTATCAAGGCTGCAAGTTATGTTCGTGTCTCCAATCAGGCGGATGACTCTTTTCTGGATGGATATCTTGGTTTTTTTCAATATATCGTTGATATACAATAAAAAGAGAATTGGAGACAATATGGATCCCTCGAGAATGCCAAAGTAGATGGTTAACGCGCCACAACATATAGATAGATAGATAGATAGATATATTTATTTGTGTATACAATAAAAACATGTCTACATTTGTCGTTAAACACAAAACAAAACAAATGCTATAAAAAAAACAAAAAATATATATAAAAAAATAAATAAAAAATCAATACTCACACACACATGCACTTCCATGAAGCAAAAATTCTTCCACAGAATAGAAACAATGATAAACTAAATATTTGCGCATTTGATTTTTAAATCTTTTTAAAGTAATGAAATGTTTATGTTTTTGTGGAAGGGCGTTAAACATTTTAAAACCTAAATACAAATAAGAATTATGAAATTTGGTTAGTCTGAAGAGTGGAAGACGCAGATCACTACCACCTCTGGTACTGTACCTATGTACATAGCAGTTTGAGGTTACCGCATTCGCCAAAATTTTGCTCCCAACATAAAGGAGACACTCCAATATATAACAACAAGGCAGCGGCATGATGTTGAATTTTTTAAAAAGGGGCTTACAATGAGCGTCATACTCACTAGAAGAAATTATTCTAATGACTTTTTTTTGTGCTATGAATATTTGATTGCCATGAGTCGCACTTCCCCAAATAATCAAACCATAAGTCATTATACCGTGGAACATAGCAAAGTACGCTATTTTTAAATAATTAAAGGACAGCTGATATTTCAATTGACGCAATGCATAAGAAGCTTTGGCAAGACGTTTTGCTAGATCCTGAATGTGAAATGAAAAATTTAGTTGAGAGTCTATATGAAGGCCCAAGAGTTTAACTGTATCCTCAGATTTTCCGCATGGTTCAAACTGAGATGCTGCGTTTTACTTTCATTTGAGAAAAGGAAATTACATCGAAACCAAACTTTAGCATTCTGTTCTGAACAATTAAGGGTCAGTAAAGCACTGTTTTTATTTGAATTTTTCACAACGAGTGTGGAGTCATCTGCATAAAAAATGGAAGCCACATCAGAGTTAATACTCATACATAAATCATTGAAATATATAATAAATAGCAAGGGTCCTAAAACGGAGCCCTGTGGGACACCAAACATAACTGACTCTCAAAGGCATCCACAACAACTTCATAAAATTCACATAGAGCCAATACAGTAGACCGGTTAGGTCTACAGCCAAATTGCGCATTACACAGTAGTCAATTTGACTCGAAAAATTGGAGTAACCTTTCCTTAAGAATTAGTTCAAATATTTTACCAATTAGCGGAATGATAGAAATTGGTCTATAATTATCAGGAAGGTTAATATCACCCTTTTTATGCAAAGGGGTCACTTTAGATATTTTGAAAGCGTCGGGAAATATTCCCTGACACATACACTCATTGAAAAGGTTAGCCAAAGGTGCTGCGATGTCCTCAATTATTAGTTTTATAGCAGTGGCATGCAATCCATAAATGTCAGCAGATTTTGAATTTTTCAAGTTGGTGACAATTCTCAGAATTTACATATCATCAGTGGAATGGAACCAAAAGGTTGAAGTATTGAGAGGAATTTTCATAATTAAAATTTCAAGATGACTGTGATTGAAGTCTGTTATAGTTTTCATCAAATTATCTACATAGTCATTAAAAAAGCTGGCAAAATCGTCAGGTAATATGTTATTTTTGTTGACATTATTGTTTTTTCCGCGCTGTTTATTAATTATTTGCCAGGAAGCCCTCTGTCTTTTATCAGAATCCGATATTATTTTGTCATTTAGAAGATTTTTCTTTTATTAATAACTATTCTATATTCCTTCTTTAGTTTATTGAGAAGTGCAAAATTATCCGAGGTCCTTGGTACTTCTGCAATGATTTGTATTGCATCTAGCTTAGCCTGTTTTTAAGATATTCAATTTCAGGAGCTGTTTCAACATGCTTACTAAAATCTGTAGTTTTAGGAATAATTTGCTTTAGAGGAAAATAATAATTGAACATGTCAGATATATTTGGCCATATCAAAAGGTTTTGGAGTTTTTGAGTGAACCCTCCATCAGTTGATGGCTTTTTTTGAAGCCGAGAAGAACTAAGAAAACTGGTGGATAGAATATGTTGTTGAATAATACTATACTTTATTCATAACCGTGCGAAACGTAACACTTCTTTGATCAGACTTCTGAAAACTGACAGGGGGTAGTTTGACTTGTAACGGTTACACGCTTGTCAAAGCGGAGTTGGAGTTCTTGCGCAAGCTCTTCACTAGTTGATGGCTTCTCTGAAGTCGTGAAGAACCAAGAATACTGATGGACAGAAATACATTCTTTCAAAATATTTAATTTCTTTCAAAATATTGTGGTGAACAATACTGTAACCTATTTGTCAGTGTGCGTAACGTTACAGTTCTTTGATAAGACGGACGAAAACCGACAGAGGGTAGCTGTGCTTGTAACTGTTACATGTGTCAAAATAGTAACGAATTTCATGCAACAGCAATCCGTTTAGAACGTAACGGTACTGGTGATTTGTTACAAATGAATACGCGCCACAACATATCTTTCTCCATATCGGAGAGGTTTTGGAGTTCTTGATCGAACACTTCATCAGTTGATGACTTTCTTGAAGCTGTGAAGAACCAAGAAGACTGATGGACAAAAATAGATTGACTCATAAGACATTCCTCCTGAAATATTTTGGTGCATAATACTGTATCCTATTTGTCAACGTTCGTAATGTAACAGTTCTTTGATTAGACAGTTGAAAACTGTTGTTGTTGAAAACAAGGGGCAGTTCTGCTTGTAACGGTTACATGTATTAAAATAGTAACGGATTTCATGCAACTGCAATCCATTTACAACGTAACGAGTTCATGGTTACGGTACTGGTGTTGTGTTACAAAGGGATACGCGCCACAACATATCTTCCCAATATTGAAGAGGTTTTGGATTTCTTGAGTGAACTCTTCATCAGTTGATGGCTTTCTTGAAGCTGTGAAGAACTAAAAAGACTGATATGACATTCCCTTTGAAATATTTCGGTTCACAGTACTGTACCCTATTTGTCACCGTACGTGACGTAACAGTTCTTTGATAAGACTGCTGGAAACCGACAGAGGGTGGTTCTGCTTGTAACGGTTACATGTGTCAAAAAAGTAACGGATTTCATGCAACAGCAAATCGTTAACGATGTAACGAGTTCATGGCTACGGTACTGGTGACTTGTTACAGATGGATACGCACCACAACATATCTTTCTCCATATCAGAGAGGTTTTGGAGTTCTTGAGTGAACTCTTCATCAGTTGATGGCTTTTTTGAAGCGGTGAAGAACTAAAAGAACTGATGGGCAGAAATAGATTGAGTCATAGGGCATTCCTTCTAAAATTTTTGGTAAACTATACTGTACCCTATTTGTCACCGTACGTGACGTAACAGTTCTTTGGTAAGACTGCTGAAAACCGACAGAGGGTGGTTCTGCTTGTAACGGTTACATGTGTCAAAATAGTAACGAATTTCATGCAACAGCAAATCGTTAACAACGTAACGAGTTCATGGCTATGGTACTGGTGATTTGTTACAAATGGATACGACCCACAACATATCTTTCTCCATATCGAAGAGGTTTTGGAGTTCTTCAGTGAACTCTTCATGAGCTGATGGCTTTTTTGGAGCCGTGAAAAACTAAGAAAACTGATGAACTGAAATAGATTGACTCATAAGGCTTTTCTTTGGTAAATAGTACTGTTTCCATCGCCAATCCACTATACATTCTAATTCCATGCATCTCGAATATGAATCAATCGAGAATTGTTGCAATTCTCTTCTAGACGCGCGTTTCTTCAATCGAATTGGCGTCTTCAGGAGAAGAAGAAAGCCTAATTCCTAACTCTAAAGCTGGTCTCCAACTATATCTAACGGAGCAGACCAGGAAATTAGTTGTAAATGCGTGAACACGTATATTCCGTTTCAGATGTAATTGGTGTTTTTCTATTATTACTGATTTCGGAGATATTAGCCCGTGCCACGACTTGTCGGGCACCCAAAATAATATTTGTGATGACATGTATTTTTCTCTGTGAATTTTTTAGCCATTCCAATCCTACATTCGGCACTCTTGTATTGTCAACCGTTTCTGTACGTGACGACCATCATCATAGTTCGACCAATAGAAGTCTGGTTAGATCCGTCTCAAAAAGTCTAGCCTCAGTATTTCACAAAAGTAACGGAAGTAATTGCTCAAGAAATCTTCCCATATACAAATATAAGTTGAATGTCATCTCTCGCGAATTCTCGCACTGGCGTATTCGATATTGAATGTGTTGTATCCAAGGATATTCGCATTAGCAACTTCTTCTTCAACCTCCACTACAAACCAGTCATGACGATTAATAGTTTCTCTCTGTAATGGGACACTTTTAATGCAAAGGTACTTAAAACGTACAAATCACCTTGATTGTGAGTGTTCATCCAGCGTGCACGCGGATGAGATGAAATAATAGTTTCGGCACTTTTTCAGTAAGCAGCTTTGTGTTATCGTTTGTAGTCATTTT